ACTCTCATATGCCACAGAAAGTTGTCCCCAGACATGGCTACTTCTATCGGATGATAGGTCTCGTTGATGTAGAAGCCTTGAGTATCGAAATAACAACAGATGAATTCCATATAGATAGTTGAACACATTTTATAGATTGATGTTGACTCGTTGAAGGATGATTTGAAACTGATTGAAAATCCAAATTAATCTGCGTTTATATACAAAAATTGAACCAAAGAATCGAAAAGAATCGGATCATCGTACATGAATCGATCTAATGAATCGATATCGATCTTCCGGGTTTAGCTTCATCGGTTTTACTAAACCAAGGTAAAACAGGAAGGATGTTCGAGATGGGGTGTACTCGGAAGTGATATGATTCCATTTCCGGTTAATCATTTCATCTTTTGAAATTTGAGTTGTCAAGAAACATAAATCCATTAATGTTTCAATTGGTAATGACGATGATGAAATCAACCATTGTATAGCTTCTTTAAATGGTTTGAGAGATTTCCAAAATTCAACAGGGGTTTCACACCCAGGTTTGTCTTCCTTTTGTACGAAAAATGATTTATCACTCTTCTTTTCCGCAGTCACTTTATAGAAACAGACAGATTTTTGTACTTTATCGAATGATTCAGCAAAAGCCATACAGAAATTTATCTCTGAATTTGACAGAGATACACCATATAGTATATTTGAAGTTTTCAAGGCACGGACATCTAGTCTCTTAACATTATCGGTAAACATTAAACGACAGATGAGATCAGGTTCTGAGACAACTACCCACGATTTAATTTCACTTGACATCTTAACTCTTCAAAATTTAAACTTTAAATGACGAGAATCGTTTATTGATGTCTGTTTAAATACAAAAGCTCAACATACGAATTGAATAGCTCCCTATTCTTTTCAGCAAATTTATCCAGAGCAGTAAAATCCACCTTCCGGTTTTGTGGTTTCTTCAGTAATCGTAGTCCTTTTAGTAAACCACTAAGCACATTAATACCACTTATTTCCGTTTCCGGCCACTTCCTCTCTTTAATATCTTCTTTAGACATCTTTTTAGTTAAAATATGAATATCAAGTAACTGTTCAACCGGAAACAAATCATTATACATTAAATGTAACAATGCATCACAAAATGGTCTTTGATCGGTCCAAAAATCACGAGGGGTAGTAACATTTTCCAAACATCCTTTTGAAACACTGAATGATGAAACACTTTCCTTTTTAACAATAATGTCATCAAATCTCACATATGATGGTCTCTTCTCGAAATCCTCGGCATATTCAATACAGAACTTATACTCAGAACCCGTTAATCTTACCGGACGGTTCAACAGTCTAGGTTCTCTATCACTTTCAATAGCAATCCTTCGTTCATATAGGCGACAAACCCTTACAGATAACTCTTCACAGGTAATGACTGACATTTTTGATTCAAATGATACAAACTCTCATTTTTATTCTCCTTTTATACTTGTCATGAATGAGTTAACGTCCGGTTTGTAAACTCTCTTAATGTTGACTCAATTTGTTCTTGGTCTTTAGCACCAGTTATAATCAACGATCCAGTCGTATAATAAATTAAAGTTACCTTATTTATCTTTATATAAACTGCAGGATAGATTTCCGGTTCATAAGTTGTATCCGCATAAGTATCAATCATCATTTTCGTATTAAAAGAATAATTAATGAAACTGTGGGCAGTTATATTAACAACCCTGAGAAATGATACCGTTCTTTCCGGATATACTTCTTGTAAGACAGCTCCCGCTGTTGATACATCAGTAAAACCCGTTGCTGTTACTTTACCAGATGCAAAAACCAAGAAAACTCCTTCTTTCCTACGTATAACTTCAGCATTAAACTTCTTCCGTCTATTAGTATTGTCCACATTTATAACAACCGGATCTATATTCCATAATGAAACAATATTCACAATCTCATACTTAGGCAAGGGTAACATTTCCATACTTTAGATTATCCAAATAAAACACCCGAAACAGTAAAAGAACTAATACAACCACAATAATCACCAACGTAAGCAAAAGAACCATCATAACTGTCTTTCTGACCTTTCGTCACTTTCCTTTTATTCAAAAACCCGTTGAAAATACAGTTTAATTCTTTCTACCGGAACTTCCGGTTAATAGGTATCTTTATTATGTAGCTAGTTACTACCACCTAAATAGTGTTAAAATTGTTTCCAACGGAAGTGGGTGATGCACCCGGAAGATACTTCACCCACTGGCGAAGTTCCACCGGTACTGGTTGCAACCACTCATGGTTTCTCCCACCGAGATCCAGTTTCGGGTGCATCATCCATTTCTTTACTACTATAACCATGAAAATAGAGTAAAAAATAGTAATCATAATATTGTATCATCTTTGCTTTGGTATTAAATCAAAAATATTGAGTCTATTTGGTGAAGGGCGGCCACTGGGATCATCACTTTATCCTCTCTCTCTCTCTCATCATTATATTCACTTTAATCATCATCTTATTAATCAATACGAGAGAATGGAAAATGCTAGTTAATAGTTTTGACATACTGTTTGCTGCCTATTTTGTTTCAATTGTAGTTACTCATTTAATAGTTATGTTTGATTATGATTACAAGGCTGGTAATTTCAGTGCTCAGGTAACAGTTCCCAAATTATGCTCACCAAACCCAGGTAACCTCATTATTTAACCGTTTACCAGATTGTACACAATTAACTTGATTGCATCCAATCAGCATTTAATAGTGAAGGTAGTTACCAAAAAACTGACCACATGAAACATTTAAACTCATGTAATATTTTTTTTTCATGTTGTACATTTGATTGGTCAAGTTGTCAGATTTTTATTGAAACGTTTGTATCAACTGAGAATAGGACAAATTATATAAACATGAGATCTATTAGTTGATAACCAAAAGGGTCAAAAGTCAATTCTGGTATCAAATGATTGAGATAATTTACTCTTGAGATTTCATTGAACGTTACCTTGATCTAATCTGATTCATCTTGATTGGTAAACAATTGAACTGATTAAGATATTTAATTAGCTAAGAAAGTCATAAGTAAATGAGGTGGACCTAATAAGCTGATAAATCTGTCATAGCTTTTTCCAATAAGCAGAATAGTCTCACAAATACAGGGTGATTCAACCTTTTCTCTATGAATACTAATATAAAATACTCGATACATGGACATTCAATGCTACTCTCAGGCCATTTGCCGTTAATAACCTTGAATGACTTTGAGACTTTTGGTTAAATGTTAAATTATCGAATCCATATGATGAAAGATTCTCGAGTTGACTTACAACAATCGATTGATTGCTAACAACAATTTGTTTTTTTTTCTCTTTTTCAAGTGATTAATTAGGAAGATGGAGGCTGATTAATCTCCAACTTCTTTTTAATCCTAATCTTCAAGGATTTTTGATAATCTATTCGAGATTAAACCTCAACATTCATTAGTCTTTATTAACATAATATTTATCTTTTAATCTCTTTCCATTTTTCTAATTATGTTACATAGGTGATTAACTCAATTCTAATCAATATATTTACGTTTAATCGTTAATTCTTAATCATTGGTCAGATTCAACACGTGGATTTAGTAATTATTTTATCGGATGAGTTTCCGTTTCTATTGAGTCTAATTGATTAGCATCACCAAGGAAGATTAACTGTTTATTCAATTGTTATTCGGATTGGAAATTGTCATTATTTGTTTGAGACAATTGTGACTGATTAAAGATCGAGACTCATTAATTTTGGATTCCAATGGAACCAAATTAAAGTCAGAAATCGTAAAAGAAAAATCCGAATTGATTTGTAAACGGAATCATCGGATTAATTTGATTCGTCATTAATTTCTCATTAATTTCCATGTTCATTGTTATTATCTTTTCCATCTTAATCCAATGGTAATGTTTCCTTTAACTCTCATAACAATTAATTTTTTATCAACAAGATAATTGACTAATTACCTAAAGCATCAAGTCTATTTTTCATTGATTCTTTTTTTGTTTCTTCTCCGTTTATATTAACAGTTAATCTTTGACTCTATTAACAAGATGTGATGATGATGGAAAGTAAAGATGATGAAGATAAGATTAACCAAGCAGAAAATTGATTCAATGGGAGAGAGAACATAAAATGTGAATGTGATGATGATGATCATCATCGAAATCAAGTAGCAAGAGTTATCTCAATGGTTCGAATTCGATTTTTTTCTGTTTTCTATTCTCTTTTAGCTCATCTTTTTTTTATTTATCTTTCAGCTCTCTCTCTCTCTCTCTCCCTGTCGTTTTCTCTTTCATATAAACACAAGTGACAAGAATCATCACCATCAAGTCGAATCGAAAGGCATCCGATAATCATTAGCGAAGAGAAGAAGACAAGTGTATTTATTAGAATGTCGACTTATCTTGGCTTGTTTATCTATCCATTCATCCATAGATGATGAGATGATGATGATGAGATAGAGAAAAAATTGATGAAAAAAGAGTGAGCTGAATGAATAGATACACAAGTTAATAAAAGCCTATTGAGAGAGAGAGAGAGAGAAATGTTGATGGTTCAATCAAATCTTTTTCCATCTTGTTTTTTTCTTCTCCATCATCTCTATAATGTACATAGATTTACGTACAATTCAACAAACACATTCTCATCTCAGGTAACCTGTAATTCACACCATGAAAGAGGAAGGTAAAAGGAAGATGATGAAATTCATTCGGTGAAAAAGGAAACACATTTAGAATATGGAATTATGATCATCATGTTTTCTATTTGTATTCGTTGACCAATTCGATTCACATTAACTTCCAATCGAATGAAAATTTTCATTAGAGTCCACCATTAGCTAAAGGTACTAATTACGAACCGATCAACAAATGAGTTTAACTGTTAAAATCAAACTCTAATTGTAACAATTAAAATTCAAAATTGTCGCCATCTATCTGATCTTCAACAAGTTAAAATGATTTGATTGTTTAATTTCTGGTTAATTGAAAACAATTGAAAGAAACAATTTCGTATCCTTTTGATTGTTTCAATTTGTATTTTTCTTTTCTTTTTCCATTATATTTAATTCATCAAGATGATGATGAGTAATTATCATCGTAATGATGAGTATCATCTGGAGGAAGGTAATTGATGAAAGTGAGTAATTATAATAACAAAGAGTAAAGGAGACAAACAGATGAAAATATCATCATATTCATGTAATACCATCAACAAGGTAAGTATCACTCTCTCATCATCATCATCATAATCATCTCTCTCTCTCTCTCTCTCTCTCAGGTAAGTGAATTGAAAGTTAATTTTTCTGGTTCCGCCTCCGACTGATGATTCTGTTATGAATGGGTTGAAGCGATGAAAAGAGTCAGTTGTTAATCGATGGGAGAGATACAATTATGGATGAAAATTATGGCTCCATCATCTTGTTTCTCTTTCACTTTCTCCCTTTCTTATCATCATTTTCTCTCACTCTTTCCCTATTTATGGATCATTGAGATTGATGAATAGATTGGACCAACCTCATCATCATCATCAGTACGATCTCTTCAAATATTAACTTATATTCATTTTTTTTTTACTTTTACTTTCCAACCTCCATAAATATCATGTTTAGCCCATCATCATTTTCATCATCATCGCAATCATAATCATCATTAAAGGAGAAAAATGATAGAGATAAACTGACACACCCAATCGTTTGTGATGTTCAAGTCTATCTAACAAACACTCACCGTTATCATGTGATAATAATGATCATCAAACCGATCGGAGATCATTTATTTTCAACTACTTTTCGAGTTCGAAGGTGGAAACACAATTTGTCTTCTAAATGTTTATTGGTTTCAAAAGGTAATTTCATAAGCAGAAAACGGGAGAAGAAGAAGAAAAAAAGATGATACAAGGTGAGGATAAATTAAAGTAACAAGGAAGATGATGAAAAAGATAACAATATAATAATAGTAATGATGATGATAGGAAAAGATTAAATATAAAAGGCTGAAAGACACCAAGATATTACCTGGAAATATGAATAAAATGTGAGCAGGTGATGTTTAGTTCTGGGTTGATCTTGTTCCAGAACGTTATTCGTATCATGATTCAGTTGATGAGTAGAAATTGAAATTAAGAAGATAATATTGATATGAGTTTTCGTTGAATATATTGAAAAGATGATAATGATGTTGGAAATAGTGATGAAGTAAAAAAAGATTATGATATTTGACATAAAACAAACCACTTTCTGTATCTTCTTTGCATTAACCTTAACTTTAACCTTATAATGAAGCATCAATGCTCATTTTATGCTTTATCTACTTTATTTCTTTCTCTCTCTCTCTCATCATCATCATCATCATCACTATCATTTTCATTATCATCATCATCATCATCATCTACATCAAAGTATTTATATTCTCTTTCTTTTTTCTCTTTCTCTCCCAGGATCTCTTTCTCGCTTGATCAAGTACATAATCCATGAAAATAACCCTTGGGACAATGTGTATGTTGTTAAAAATGTTTTCCAGCAAGAATAGATGATGAAGATGATGTACTTGTCAATAAAGAACCTGAGTAAAGTAAAAGTGATGAGGAAAAACCAAAGAGTGAGAGAGAGATAGAGAGAGAGAGAGAGATGAGGAAGACAATGAAGACAAATATGAAGATGATGATGGTTATGTTATCCGCTTAAAAAGATGATAACAAACGCGTTTATAACAATAATAAAATGACAACATCGACAACGAAATATGTCATCCCAAGTCTCTCCCTTTCTCTCTCTCTCTCTCTCATCTCTCACACTGCGTAAAAAAAGCATCAAGAAGAACAGTAAAAGGTTATTGAGAAATGATAATACTGATGAGGATGAAGATGAAGATGAAGATACAAAGATTGAAACTATAATCTTGAGAAATGAGTTTCAAAGTATTCTTGACATCTCAATGTTTACATTATCTTCATGTTCACCTTCACCAAATATCCATAATAATGATAATTCAGTAAAATGAAACCTCACTTGAAGTATCTATTTTATACTGAGAAATACTGATTATCTTGTTATTATTATATTCTATCATCATTATCATCATTATCTTCATCATCTCGAGAGATTTTAAATTTTTAAAAAACTTTTTTTCCTCTTTTTCTTTCACCTTTTTATATTATTTTTTTTTTCTTCTTTAAATTCAAATTAGAAAACTGTCAGAATGAAAATATCAAGTTAATCTCATATTCTAATCAGTTGACTTTTAATGTTATTATGATGATGATTATTATCATTTTCATTATAATTATAATACTATTTAATCACATCAAGCATCAATCCTTTTGGTGCATTTGATTTAACTTTTTTCCGTTCATTCTTACCTTGATTAACTCTGATAATTTCTGATTAATAAAAATAGTAAATGATACAATGTTTTCAGTTGATTGTTGATGTTGATTTATCGTGTGATGATTGTTACAATCAAATGAAAACTTGATGATCATATAAACAGTTAGCTGATTGTTTCATCATTGAAAATGATAGTAACTATTGCGTGTTGTTATTATTGTGACAGTGTCTTTTTTTTAATGCTTTATTTTCATTAGATTGTTATAACAGTTTGTTAACAATAATTACCTTTGTTGATTTGTTGTTATAATCATTACAAACCACAGTAGTCAACAAACATAAAGTAAACTGATATTTTCTTGTTTCTTTGTATTTTTCTTGCGCAGTTTCATTTGGAAATGAGATGAAATCAACGAGTAATTCAACCATTAGAATGGACTTTCACTCTGTAATCACAAAGAAGGGGAAAGATGAAGATGAGGATGGAGATGGAGATGATGAGGATGAGGATGATAACGGTGGTTTTTGCTGATGCTGATGAAAAGTAATGACTGAATGAGGTAAACTAGTAACTAAGTCAACAGTTAATGTTGAAGGGAAATTCATTCATCCGATAAAAAAGACTACATTTGTATATATATTGTGATGAAGATGAAGATGAAGATAAGGATGAGGATGATTATCATCTTTGTATTGCTGTTAAGAAACCTTTCAGGCGCGTAAACGAGTCAAAAGAAACTCATATTATAAGTTAATTCTTACTATTACTTATCTTCCTTTTCTTCACCTTTTTTTCATCTTCTTCTACTCTCTCATCATCTTGTCATCTTTTCATCACTCAATTAACTTATATTCATAACTTTTTTTCTTTCTTTCTTTTTCACAATTAAGGAAGATGATGAGTTAACACATCTCTTGGAAAGTGAGAATAAATTCAAAAATTTGCTTTAATTGTTTAAATTAAAATCTAATTGAAACATTTAATTGGAAAATTGATTGAAAAAAAAGGTTAGTTTAAATGTTATTTACTTTATCATGTTGATCACTGTTTATAGCTAACGGTAAATGTTGTTAATAATGATTTGTTGATTTAATCAATTTCATCCGCTGTTATTTTCAGGTAACAACAACAACATGATTGTAAAGGCTCAAGTTAAATATGATCATCATTAAGATTAACATTATCACTCTGATTGTTGGCAAGGAAATCTTTTAGAACCATGTTATTTGTATATAAACTGAGAGTATATTTATGATCCTGTTTATTGATTAACCGTTGATTAAGCTTCATGTCCAAGAAAAATTGAGATTAATGATTGGATTCATACATTTATTTGACAACATTATCGACTTACCTTTAACACATTACCTAAAATGTGTAACAATATATTTAGATATTAAATGTATAGTCAAGAGAGATTCACCAAAACAAGAGTAACAACCCATACAAAAAATGTTATATCGTTTTTCACACTGTCAACTTTATTTACTTCTCACTCTCATCTTGATCATTTCTCTCTCTCTCCCGAAGCATTATCATCATCATCATCTCCATCTTCATCCCTCTTTGAGCCACAAGAAACAAGCAAATTGCGCAAATAACAATAACATAAAAGGAAAGATTCATCTTTAAAACAAGCCAAAAATACAAGAGAAGATGTAAAATAAATATCATCCTCATCCTCATCTTCATCCTCATCTTCATCTTCATCACCACCTACACAAACCCTAACAAGATGAACAACTTAAGATATATACTATTACCTGATTATTTAATTTATATTAACAGAGTTACACTTGATTTATATTTATTTGTTTCTAACTGACTTTCTTAATGATTTCAAAGTTGTACTTTAATTTACTTTTATCATCACTAATCTGTAATGGATAAACTTATCATGATAAGTTACTTTCCTCTCCCACTTATCTTCCTCATCCTTTAATCATTATTATTAATATCATATTATCATCCTCATTATTATCATTGTATCATCCTCATTATATTTATTAGGATAAATTGTCAACAATCACCAAAGGAAAGTTGAAAAATCAAATTGAATCTTGACAGGAAAATTTAATATCGTTAAGTTAATTGTTTTATATGGTTAAGTATATTGATCGTAATTTATATATATTAAATTGTCAAAAATAAATGAACCACCTAAACCATTAAAATTGATAATCATCATTTTAATTGTGAATATAATTATTTTGTTCAACTGTAAATATTAATCAGATTAAGAGTAACAAAAATAATAATAATAATAATCAACTCTCAGTGGATTAATTTAAACAGCATTGAAACTAATGATTATGATATTATTACAATTTACTAATCATGTCTCTTGATTTTCATGTTTATCAGTTGTTATTATTGTTATTAAGTAGTTTAATTAATTAATTATATTGATAATTTAATCAAGTCTAATTACAATCAATGTGAATGGAAACGATTATCAGACAGAAAAAAAAACAAAGTTTATCCATTCAATTAATCAATTAACATGAATCACAAATCACGATTAATCAAAAGTAAATGATTTACAATTCCCCCTGAATTGAACAATCAACTGATTATCTTTCTCTCACCTTGAATGTTAATCACTTTTGGTGATGATTATCAATTGACAATCGACAATTAAATATCATTATTTTGTCTTCCTAATGTTTACAGAGATCACAAAGTTACACACTCTCTGGAAGCTCCACCTCACATGAAATCCCACCTTCCACCCTGGCAACGCCTTTACCACCCTCTCTCTTGGTGGTTACTCATGATGATCAATGAGAAGATGAGGAAGATGAGGATGAAAAAGTGATATTAGAATATGATGATTAAGATTTGCTACTTTCCGGTTGATTGGATAAAACTGTTCATTGTAATTGGAGAAACAAAAAAAGATGATGATTAACTTTCATCTTGACTGATTAACTAATCATAAACAACTAATATTAACCATCAACCTCAAAATATAATGATAACGATTACTTAATTGTCGTTAATCATAATCAACGGTGTAAATTGACTTTCAATGTTTTCCTAATCTTTAATTTCTCTTTGATTGTTTTACTAATGATTAACATTCTGCTGGTAAATTGTCATGATTTAGTTAACTGTTAATAATAAGATACAATTTAACAAAAAATTTACTTGCAATTGAAGAAACCATAAGAAAAAAGTTTCCTCATTTACAAAGTAACAATCAATAAATTATGATAACAATCAAGCCACATTAATGTTAACAATTTGATCAATCAAAATTAACTGTTTCTCACTTTTTTTCATACTATTTTAATCAAATGATAATTTATTAATTGCTGCTCATTAATCATCATATTATTAATATTTGATAATCATAATTATATTAGTAGATTAGTTTAATCATAATTGTAGTAATTAAATAATAAATAGCAATTCCCTTGATAAATTACATCAAATATTGTGTTGATTAATTGTTGATATAATTTACCCTGAGGCTAATAATTTTCATTTAATATTAATTGCTTTGAATTAAAAGCAAAGTAAATCAACTGATTGTTAACAAGTTGATTTATTAACCATAAAAAAAAGTTGATAAAATGTTAATCATACATTTTGTGAGTGTTAACTTGATTAATGATCTACTTTAATTAACTTACACGCGATCAATATGATTAATTAATTGTCTTTTGATTTTCTGTTGAAATTTTATTTTTCTTTCGATTGCAACAATTAAAAGGAAAGTGATTTTAATTGATTGATAATTCCTTTGATTGTTTTGATTGTTGTTTTTGTTTCCAATGTTACACAATTGGAAAGCTTAAGATTGGCATTGATTTTGTTTTCTTTTTGTTAAATAATAATAATAATTACATTTGTTGACAATTAGTTAATAACTAATAAAGATTATACAATAATAATAATTAAAAGAAATGATTAAATTGTTAATAATCATAAATGATGATGAAAGATAATAGTTAATGATGATAAGTTGTAATAATTAATAATAATTAACAAGGACTTGGAAGTGTTAACATGTTTTGTTGGGCCTTGTTAGTAGTTGTTTGATTGAGTATGAAAGTGGATGATGGAGAGTTGGATGTAGGGTGGGAGCCGGTCCTCCATTTGTACCCGGCGGTGAGCCAACGGTCAGTGAGGTTTCCATTCCGGAAACATGGGGATGATGAAGGTGGTTGGTGTTGACTGTTGGTGGGCAAGGGTGATAAAGGATAGGAACTGCTCTGATCCGTTGAGCGGCGGCTTGAGCCATGTTATGTGCTTCCATTTCAGCGGCGATTTGTCGCTTCCATTTGTTTCGACGATTTTGAAACCATATTTTCACCTGAGTCTCAGTTAAATGAAGGGACGCGGCCAAACCCGCTCTCTCTGAACTAGACAGGTAACGTTTTATGTCAAACGTTGATTCTAATTGGAAAACTTGACTTCGAGTGAAAACTGTTCGTGTTTTCTTTTTCCGTCTATTTGGACCACTTCCGTTGAGTCCACCTCCGTTGGAACTTCCTCCTCCTCCTCCATGACCCACAGAACCAGGGGATGAACCATCTTCATCACCACCAATACCTTTACTATCTTTATCTCCTAATCCTGTTTGTTCAGTTATATCTGATTCGCAATCAGAATCTGAGGTAACACCTTCGTCCATGTCAATATCAACCGGAGTGTCTAATGTAACAATCAATTAAATTTCAACAATTAGGAAAGGAATCAAATTGAAATGAGTTATAAATAACGGAATCAGTTTAATAAAACTGAAGATGATCAATAAATTGTAATAATAACATTCTAAATAACTTTTTATTGTGACCATTGGATTAATAATATTCATAAGGTCAATTCTTAGCAATTAATCTTAAGCTGAGTAAATATGAAAATTCAATTCTAAAGATAACTATCAGGCTAATTTTAGATAGGAAAATGTTCATGATGATAACTAATCGTTGACAATCAAGATAATCATAATTTGATTAGAAAGTATAATTTCCTAGTATTAACTTGTAATTCCCATTTGGATTATCAGGTTAACTTGAATAATTTATTTATCATGATAAACATGATTAGCTTGACCTTAGTCATGTCAATATCAACTCAGTTTAATTCTGGTCAATGATTAAATTATGAGAAAACCGAAAATTTGTTTGAACAAACAACCAGATTGATTATGATTAACATGAAATTAATTGTTAAATGTAAAATAAATCATTTACCTGATTGATAAGGTCTCGATGGATGAGATGAAATTGAATGATTAGATGAGTTTCCATTGGTTAACGGATGATGATGAGGATGATAAAGGTGATGATGTGAAGGATGATGAGGATGAACACCATGAAGTCGCAACATTGAATCACTAAAAGCATCAGTAATATAATGATGATAAAAAGTGGTGGTCATTAAATTATCATTAGTATTTTGATTACTATTAACAGATTTATCATTAAAATTATTAGCATCTTTATCAGGACAACCTTTTAATGAGTTAATTGTTGTTGATGATGAAAGTGATGATGATGAAGATGATAGAGGAGGAGGTGTTGTTGATGTTGATCGATTGTTGTTATTATGATGATTAAGGTGATGATTGTTAACATGATGATTGTATAACCCTGTGATTAAGGTGGTTGACAATTTAGATCCAAATGAGATTGGACTTAAATTACCTTTTAATTTACCATTACGAGTTAATTCATCAATGATTAAACTATTATCCTTGGCAGAGATTGAAGAAGATGATGAAGATGTGGTTGAAGAAGAGATCAAATTATTATTATTATTATTATTATTTACATGGTTAAGTGTTGTCGATGATGAGGAGGATGAAGATGAAGATGAGGTTGAAGTAATCGTTGTAATTGTTGATGATCCTGTTGATGATAAGGATAAGGATAAAGGTGAAGAGGATGAAGGTGAAGATGTTGAGATAATTGTAACTGGAATTGGTGATGTTGGTGATACAACATTTTTACTTGATTGTTGATGATGATGATTTGTAATTGTTGGTGTAACAATTATCGATGTTAAACATTTGCCAAAAGTTTTAACACAATCAACCGTTGATAGTGAATTTTGTGAATTAATTGTCGATGATAAAGATAAACTGGAGCTCGGTGGGTTCGTTGATTTAGATAAAAGTCGACTTATGCTGAACGATAATTTCGGCGGTGATTTAGGAGATGATTTAGAAATTGAAATGCTCGAATTGGAATTGATTAAATTGTTAGGACCAGTTGTAGAAACACTATTATTGTTATTGGCGATTGTTTTGTTAGTGATTAATTCGCTTTGATCAATTAATGAATGGTCACTTCCATTGGAACACAAATCATCATCCGTTTGATTTTCCATCATTGATGAAGAGAAAGTTGGATAAAAAAAAAAGAAAAGAAAAGAAAAAGTAAATTAATTAATCACTTGTACGTTATTCTCAAAATTAATGAGCGACAATTATTCAAGTTATTAAAAGGACTCCGATTGATCAGGATGAAGATAAATTTAAGGAGAATGCAAGTTGATTGTAGCTAAATTGTTGTTCGTGTTATGATGATCATTGGAAGTTGTTACTCCATAAAGAGAGTGAGTTATTTTACTAATAAGGTGTTCGTAAGTTTTTCTCTTGCTTGAGTAGAGGATGAAGATAAGGAGGATAAGGATGATGACTGAGGAAAAGAGAATGAAAAAACTAAGATGTTAAATAATCTAAAATGTTTCCTTCTTCTATTGGCTCATCACTTATCATCATGACTCCGCCTCAGATGATTTTCATCCGACATCATCTCTCCTCATCCTTTTACTCTTACAACAAGAACCTCCTATTTCTATAGGAACATAATGTTTATTTCATTTTCTCTTTTCTCTTCCGTATCTTCATCTCTCTCTCTCTCTTTCTCTCTTACTACTCACACTTTTTATCTTCGAGTCTTCCTCTTTAGCTTTTTACCTCAATAGAAAATAAAACTTTCAGTTTCTCTTCCCTGGAACTTATTATTTTACATTTTCTTCAACATCATATAAATATTATCGTTATTATTGTTATCATTTTGTTAATTGGTTGGAACGGAGTAGAAAAGGAAACAAGGTGAAATTGAATTTCAAATTTTCGTTCAATTGGTCAAAGAAAATAGAACGAGTTAAATCAACTTGTAAATTAACCTAAACAATCAACATTTTCATCTTATTCTATCATATTGGTCAAGGATAATGAAAGAAAATAAAAAGAGAAAAGAATATTTTTACCAAAATTTTTCTCTTCTCTTTTGGTTTAAGGTCAACTTTACATGATACAAATGATACAAAAGCCTTGTGATTATGTGTAACCAAGTAGCCAGTATATTAATATATCCTAATAGACTGGCAAATTGACTGACCAAATCAAAATTTTATACATTATATCATATCAAATTACCCTTACAGTTTAAGATTACAAGTTTTGATAAAAACTTACCTTTGTAAACAGAATATATAATCACTGAAAGTCATCGGAAAATCATACAAACCATCATATCAACAACAATGGCCACAATAGAGGAAGATGAAGACCAAAGATGATGAAGAAGATGAATAAGAAAAAAAAAATCAAAGTCAAATCCATAAACACAAAAGGAAAACAAATGTAAAAAATACTTCCCTTAAAACCTTAGGCCTGAACAACAAAACCCGAAAAGTGATTCAATAATTGGATTAACCATAAACACACAACATAAGCACTAAAATTAATATCCACTTACAACCGTTAGTTTACAATAGAAATGATAGAAAATTAAATGTACATTAATCAGAAAGTAATCATTAAATAAGATTAACAATTAATTCACAACAATCAAAACCCAAACAAAGAAAAACAAACGGACCGAGGGACCGATATACTAATTGCAAAGAGATCGAAACGTTAATCAAAAAAAAGAAAAGAAAAAGTTTTTCTCTCTCTCTCTCTCTCTGTGACTATTATCATCCATTGAAGATGATGATATAAATCATCATCAATTTAATCACCATAATCATGAAAAGATCATTAAAAAGTATAATTGTAACAATAAGTTGAAAGGAGATGACAAATTAATGAACAATTTAAACTTCTCTTCATAATTATAATCATTAAATTAGGCTGATGGTTAATCATAATAATTAGATTCAATTGATGAGAAATTAAGTATTTCCAGTTAATGATAATTGATTTCACATTCATATCTAATTGACTGGCAGCAATTAAACTTTACCCTAATTACTTTAATCAATTCAATGAATTAATAAATTGACAAATGTAATCATCCTATTCATTAATTGTATTAATATTAATAATTCATTAACAACACAGTTGACACTTAAAATTAATTATCTTCAGGTTTGAAAACAAAGTAAAAAAAAATGAACAAGCAAAATCTCAATTCAATTAACTAATTGTTGGAATAACAATTCAAAGTGTAATTCAGTTAATTGTCGTTTTGGTAATAGTGTTAACCGGAAAGATTATATTTCCGCAATGATAATCAAAATGCTGAGAAAGTTAATTCAATATTAGAAATTGTAAAGAGATATAAATAAATTGATTCCATTAGAAAAAAAAATTCCATTTGATTATTATGATTCTCGATGATGATGATGATGAAGATGATTAAAGATGAGGATAAGTGATGAGGATAAAATTTTTCATTTATTTTGATTCTTTTGATACAAAAAACTAGATCTAAATGATAACCTCCATTAGCTTTTACATGAATATGATTTTACATTAACCATTGATTCTGGTTAAATTGTTTGTCATCAAATAACATTAAGAATATCTAACAATCAGTGAATATATCCAATAGTGATTAAAAAGAGGCAAACAAATGATAATCAAGCGAATTGATGAGAATCAATAACAATTAAGATGAACGATTAGTTGATGAAATTATTACAAAAATTGGCAAATTTCCACCATGAATTTGAAACTCATTCAAGTTTCAAATATTTTCTCATCGTCATCAATTGAAATTGTAATTCATTCATCATCTTTTATCATCTAGATAAACTTGATTATGATAAATTATCATAATTGTAATAATAATTTACCTTTGGATGAACATGAATAATCAAATGTTAGTGTTATTATATTGAGAGAAAGTATAAAAAAAAATCTCATTCATAAGAAAAAAAAGTTTTCAATTCATTCTGTAAATATAAGTTTCATATCTAACAATTTACTCAAGTGAATTGGTTACTATTATCATTTGATTGTGACTATTTACTGATTGTTAAAATCATCTCAACTGAAATAATTAGTTTCAACCAAAATAATATTAATAATAACAATCTATTAACAGCAAATACAAATTGAAAGGGTTACCAGAAATTTTAAACTTCTATTCATAACTAACTGATTCTGATGACCGAAAATAGATTCAGTTTGTTAATTGTTATAAGTAAATAATTAGGTAAATGTTCATATTGTCCCTTAATTAGCAATCGAATGCGTTTTAGAACCAATTTGGTAAAGTTTCTTGAGACCAAAATCGATTAGTTAATTGTAATGGAAGAAATTTTCTCATTCTCAGAATTTTCATCATCAATTAAGATAAATTATAGTTAAATTAACTAACTATGAATATGAGTAAATGATCAGGTAACATCATTATTGGAATCGATTTTGTCTCTGATGCTTATTAGAAATGGAAACAGTTTCATGTTACTTGTCAATGTTTTGGTTTCATCTTCATCTTATTACTGATTGTATCTCAATCTAATCAAGTAAATTGTTATTAGTTTGTCAACAAAATGTAATAATAATGATGATAATCAGGAAAATCTAGTACAAGATAAAAATAATTACAATTTAAAATTGATAATAATCAAGGTAATCAAGTTAATAAACCGATCAACTTGTAACGAGAACAGTTAATGTTTATTTGAGTTCATTTTCAATAATTACCTTTAATTAACTGGTTAATTGTTTGTATTTGCTTAATTTTCTTACCTGGTTTAGTTATTTAAGAGTAAATTATCTTACTGATTGTTTATTAGTTTAAATTGTCCCCAAAATGGTTTAACTGTCAATTGTTTACTCTTCAAACAGGTAGATTGATTTTCTTTATCAATTCTATTGTTAATTGTTATCCATTGACCCTGAAGGGCTTTCTTTTCATTAATCTCGTCCACTTTATCCAATTATTATCTTTGGAAAAGGATTAACTGATAGTTTGCTTGCTCTCTAACAATTAAGAATAAAAAAATAGATGAAATCCTTTAATCACTTTCTCTTCAAGGTAAGAAAATGACTTCTAAGTTTTTACCAATAAAAGGAAAAGATGAGAGAGAGAGAGAGAAAGATGAGAAATTTATCTTCTTATCATCATCATATTTACCTGACAAATCCATCAATTACAATTGTTATTTATCAGTGTTATTAGTGGGAGGACATGTTGTTGTGGTTAACCATTATCATCCTTTGTCATCATCCAGGAAGAGCTTAGTCTTTGTGCTTTATTATGATTGTTAATCCTTTTCTTTCAGCTCATCTTTTTTTCCCTTTCTGCTTGTTAAGTTGAGCACTAATTGTTACCGCAATTACGATGATTATCGTACCAATTTGAATGATAATATGTGTATAGTGATGATTGATTCATTTCGCATTGTTACCTGTGTTGTTGAGACAATTGATTGTGAGTTATTTAGTTTTGGGAGTTTATTTAGGACAAAAAAGAAGAGGAAAAGTGATTAGCTAAATTGATGTCATTGGTGATTAACAGGTAAGAATGTGGATCACAAAAGGTATTGAGAAACGATCAGCATGTAAATGTGAAGGATAGAAAAAAAAAATGCCAAAAAGGATGCGGATAAACATTATTTAAGATAATCATCATTAAATGTTGATTATCAAGAGTAAAAAATGATAAATTTATAGACAGATGGGATGAGAGGATGAGGATGAACAGATTTGGATTATCTACTTGTTGTTATTGTTGTTGATTTTAATGATGGACACTCAATTTCATCAGGGGAATCTGAAAGATATATATAAGTAGTAAATGGTTTTGATAATTGGTAAGTGATGCTGATCATCATCATAATCATTATCAACGTAATCATGATTCAAATTATATTGTTATCATTAGACTCATCAGGCAATCTTTTTAAAAGACAATCCGATTGATATCTTATATGTTGAATAGTTTCAACAACAATAAAAATAGGAGGAGGTGGTATGAGGGAGGAAGATGAGGATGAGGAGAAGAGAGAGAGAGAGAGAGAGAGAGAGAGAGAGACAGAGGAAATTAAAGTAAGAGAAGGAAAAAAAGATTAGTGAAATATGACAGTCCCTTTTAGTGCGTTCCTTTGGGATGAGACAAGGATTAATTGTTGCTATTGAATTTCGAGGTGACATTTAAAGCTCATCTTCCTATCTCTTTATCTTTGATCCATTTTCGATGATAATTCCAATTCCTTTAGTTTTTACAATGTATATTCACTAGAGAAAAGCTAGAGAGAGAGAGAGAGAGAGAGAGACCATTAGAAAGGTCAACAAAAAAAGGTCTCGAATGGGTTTAGAGAAAAGTTCTAAATATTGATGATTAAACGAAAATGATGAGATTCTGTTTGGTTATCGTTTTCCATTTTTAATGAACCAAACAAATCGATCCAATTTAACTATCAGATTACCAATGATAAGAGTTTAGTCCAAATCGTCGTGAATTTTGATCATTCAATTCCTATTGTTTTTAAATCCAAATCAATAATTTTCAATACAAGTGAACCTTTAGTGGAGAGTAAAAAACGTCAATAATTTACGATAATCTATTGTGATTGAATGTGACTCTCTTTTGTTGTTTAATTTCACGATCTCCCTCTTGAGTTAATTTAGGATTATCCTTTTGATTCCTCACCAGAGAGAAAGATACTTCAATAGGTACTCGACCGTAGTACAAATTTGTACATTAACCAGTTGATTTTCGAGTCACTAGTTTATCACTGTTATTAAAATCACCAATATAAAAGAGCGTCAATGAGCCAATAGTGATATCATTTACTCTCTCTCTCTCTCTCTCTCTCTCTCTCTCTCTCTCTCTCTCTCTCTCTCTCTAACTCCTGACAACTGATTTAAGAGTCAACAGCTATTAGAACACTCGAGGGTGGGTAGTGAGTACTCATAGAACACGAAAAGAAGAGGGTGACCTAGAATAGAAATAAAATATAAAAGAGAGAAAAAAAATAATATTTGTGTTAGTTTTTGAATTTCTTTCAAATAATAATACGAAAAGTGTAACCTAATGTATTAATACATCTACCTATGCATTAGAATACATTTACCGTTATGATGAGAGTATTTTTCTTTATAACAAAATATTAGAAAGGAAGATGATAGATTCAGTTCTCTATCTTTTTCTTTCATCATTCTCATGACAATTTTATCTAATAAAAAGTCAATTACTTGTTACATATGCTCAGATCTTTCATTCATCTCTATTGAGAAGATAAATTATCTTGTCATTTAATCAGTCAATTTATGATTATCATCATTGAATATAAATCAAACTAATGATCAGATGATGATTGAGGTGAATTATTTTTTTTTTCTTCCATCACTTACCAATTAATTTAATATTTGATTGTTTGAAATTACTCTTGATCTTTAAAGGGGATAAAGGTTGACATCTCTTTCTTATCATCTAATTCAATCTCAATGAGGAACATGTTGTTGGGTGAACTTTGTCTCTTTTTTCATCTCCATCCTGATAATACATATGATGAGGATAATGTAGATGATAATTGAGATAAGGTGATCACTTTGCTTTATTTTGGTGTTGCCAGATTAATATTATTAATACTGTTGGATGATGATAAGGAATCAGGGATGAATGATGAATGATGAATGTTTCCTTGTTTATATTGAAGATAAATCTAAGAGAGGAAAAGAAAGAGATGATGATGATGATGATATTTTGAAGCAAAATACTCATTCATAAATTAATAACAAATGATTAGGCTTATGGCTTAAGCTTTTAAAAGGGTTAGTCTGTTATGATGAAATGGTTAAGCTGGTTTAGGTGAATTAAAGATGACGTAGTTATATGGTTCATAGATATTATGATATATTCACTTGATTATCCAGCATAAATCAGTTAAATTAAGCATTAAATGAATCTCATGGTGATTGCTTAACATTGTTGTTAAAAAAACAAAAACAATCCATTATTAAGTATCCCCATTAATCAGTAGTTACAGGAATTGGAGGATTGTTACCTGGAAGATGAATGAAAAAAGATATGAATGAGTGAAAATTGGTCAATTGCATAGGAAATTAATGGTGGATATTGTTAAGGAATTGATTGCAAAAGAAGAAAAAGAGAAGAAATTAAGTCAATTAGAAAAACCTGAAAGAAATTAACTGATTTTGATATGTTTATCTAATGGAAATCAGCTGATGAAATTTGATTAAATTTGTATCCAACTGATGATCCAATTGTGATACTTTAAGATTGTAGAGTAAAAATTAGTTGATTGAAATGGATGATTAAGGTGATAACAATGGAAATTATCAAGACAATCAAATCAGCAGCATATTAACAATTGACGATATTTAGTTAGGTAATTTTGGTCCATTAAATTGATGGGCAATAATGTAAGCAATCTGAATGATGATTCCTGTGGAGAGTAACAAATTGTAATCATCTGTAAATAGAGAAGTAAAAATGATAATAGTTAATAATGTAATAAGGTTAACAAGTTGATTATAAGAAGATGAAGATAAAAAGATGAGGAAATAAAATGTACTTGAGAGGAGGGAAAATAGTAAAGGAATAGGAAACATTAAAAAGGTGAACCAATGGATGAAGATGAGGATAAAAATGAATAATAAAAGATAGGTAATAGTTATAGATGGAATAAGAAAGAGAAAGGGATGACAAGGTAAAAGATGATGATGATGATGATTAGAGTGAAGATTCATTGTCATTTTCTGTCATTTAATGTAACATGTTTGCGGATGAACATCAACAAACACAAAACAACAATCAAAATCTAAACTCAATTGGATTACTTTTCCTACATTCATCTTGGTGTATCATCATTTCCAGTTCCATTTCGTTGTTTTTACCTACAAAATAAAAGAGGAAGATACAAGAGAAATGGTGAGAAATAAGAATTGGTAAGTAAAAGTAAAAAGAAAACAATCTTGAAGCCTAAAAGAAAAATGAATTTCTCTTCAACTTTCACAGAATCTCCTCCAGGAAGAAAGTGTATCGTTTTACTTTCATAACAATTACCTCCTTCTCCAAAGACACTACACCAAAATGATCATGCTAAAGATGAAATTCTAATAAAGAGAATTAGATAAAAGAATAATTTTGAAATTCCACCATAATGAATAACAATCAGCTCTTAATCTTGAAGAATCGCCAATCCAAAGATATGAACAATCAAACCAACGCCAAAGAGAAGAGACATTTTCTCAACTTCCAATTCAACGACCAATTGACACCTGAATTCGCAACTGAATTAGGAATTACAAGTGGAAAAGAATAAAAAATATGATCAACAATTAAGAAATAAATGACATAAATAATAAAAGAGAAAAAAAATAATTAAAAAAGAGAAACAATCAACAAAGTAAACAAAAAGATTCTCGTTGCTTGGTAACCAGAAGTGGGAGGAGAATCAATTTGTTTACATAAGATGTTGTTGATTATTTTTCTTGTTAACAAGTGAGAATAATTTGTTTTTTTCTCAATTACTTATTTAAGGTCAACACCTTTATAGAAAGTTGGACAGTGGTCATCATGTTTTTCTAACATTCTCAATGGTGTCTTGAAGATTTTCTTCTTATTTTGCCTCTTTACCTTTGCCACCTTCTTGTTTGACCTACACGAGTCCATCGATTACAGTTGGTTGCTCTCTTTTCATCTTCTCCATTGGACCAAACAAATCATCTTTATCTTCATCTTATTCATCAATACAGGTAAGTAAACAAATCTATTATCACTCTTTTTTCAATTACAACAATAATGATATATCATCATCTCTATCATCAACTTTACTAATATGTTTATCATTTGTCTCTCTCTCTCTCTCTCTCTAGGCTAATTCAATTGTGTATAATCATATTATTGTTGTGAGCGACTACTGTTAGTTTATTTTGTATCTTCATTGTCCACTAACAAGCCAATTGACCAAAATAGTCTTAAGTATAAACACAACCAACTGTAAAGTCCCTTGTAAAAAAATGAGACTGGACAATAATACAGATATGAATGTATACATAATGATGAATACAAAAGGTATGTTATTTTAAGTCTCTCTCTCTCTCTCCTCTCCTTTCTCCCTTTCTCTTTCTGTTTAAAGCTTGACCACTCAGTCAAAGGTCATTTGAAAAGAAAAATTCAATGACCATTGATATAAAGAAAAAGTTATACATATTTTTTTATTGCAAAAGAAAATATCAAACAAAGAGTTTCACTTTTATTTTCTTCCTTTTATGATTACATTGATTTGGAACATTTTGATTTAGTTATAATTGTTAGATATAAATGTTCATTGATTAGAGTATGAAAATAACCCCCAGGGTGAATTTATAATCATCTTACATGTATATTAATGTTTTTTTTCTTCATCATATTCTGATGAGAGAGAGAGAGAGAGGAGGGATGAAGGAGGGTAAATGGGTGGTAATGGGAGGATAAGAAAATGAGATGAGAGTAAAAGGTAAAGAAAAGTAAACGTATTAAAATGATCACAAAATCTAATTGTGATTCTATCAATTATATAATGATTATAATAAGAATACCATAAGAATCAACCAATAACTAATAACAATTTAATAATATCAATGTAAAAGCAAAATATTGACTTGTGGCTATTTAAAATATTCATTATATGTTAATTTGCCATCAGAATATAAAAAAAACTGACCAAGTCACTCGACATTGACCTCATGTCGATATTTGAATGACCATAATAATAATTATTATCACTAGTTAGTTGATTGGTTGGTGAGTATATAAAAAAATAACCATTATCATCATAGTCGTCATTGTCATTATCATTATTTTGTGTTGATATTATGATTATGATGATGATTATTGTTGTTTTTATGTCCATTACTTTTGAATATCTCTATTTGTTTATCAAATGATAATAATCATAACAATCTCTTGGTCATAATAATAAACAGTCTAATAGTCCATCTAGAAAGTAAAGGTCACTTTAGGGTCACTTTGGGATTGAATCTGCAAAGAAGAAGAGAAAGATGAAGATGAAGATGAAGAAGAATGATAACAAATTGAAATATATTAACTTCGAAATTACTTATGGACATTACGAACTTACATGTTTAATCTTTATTTGTTTGTTGTCCATTTGAATACCTTTTGTTTACCAAATATCGAATACGAAATAATATGAAAAAAAGAGTAGAAAGAAAAGTTTTATTTTCTTCTCTAAACATTAAACTCACTTTCTTATATAATATCATTTAGGTGAGTGAATTTGAAATAATATTAGAAGATGGTGAAAGAAATGGATATGAATGGTGATGAGGAAGAAAACATCAACATGGAAAATGTAAAATCAAGTAAATTTTCATGTTCGCTCAGTAAAACTCATTCATTTTATCCCTTTACTCAGGATTCTTTTATTTCCATCAAGTTAAATTTACACTATTTTCGTATGAATATTCAACATCTAATATTTTATTTTCTCTGTGGTTTTTAATGTAATACATTTGACAAGAAAATGATGATGATGACAACAACATGAAGACGATACACAAAAAGAGTAAGTGAGAGAGAGAGAGAGAGAGAGAGAGAGAGAGAGAGAGAGAGAGACAATATTAGAAGAAAATGGTTTCATGATGACAAAAGGAAGATAAATAATAATGATGACGATACAATACCTTTTATTACTTGTTATATATCGATGTATGTACAGGAAGAGTGATGATGAAACCGCATTAATATCGGAGTAGTCACATGGCTCATTTACTTAACAAGTTGTTGTTATCATTGAATTGTTATTAATTCACTTGTAATCATCAATATGCACTAAATTGTACCAATGAATCGTAAATATGAATCGATAGATGTCTAATGGTTACGGAAGTTATAATATTTATGAGTATCTGTTGTTGATATATTGATGATAAGTTGATAATAATGAGGAAGATCATAAAAACCTAATAGTTTTGTATTGAATTGCTTTTTATTTTTACTCAAAATAATTGACGATTATCAGAGTGGGATGAAGGGAGGAAAATGGTTCCTGGTGGTAAAATCTCATTGGGACAATAACTGATATTCGTAAATGTTTTCAGGTTAAAAACGAACATTTATCACTAGAAGATAAATCGAGATAATGATAATAGTTTAATTCTAATAATTCTGAGGAAAAGATTCGATTGTCATGATTTCGAGTTTTTCTTTTCTTTTTGTATCTTCACCTATTAGGGATTAGATTGTTTGTCTCTCTTGATTTCACCTTGATTAAGATTATCGATATTGATTAATTGGGACTGAGAAAACTTTTTCTTTTTCTCTACTGATTCAGTGTCTCGAAGAATCTTCACCTTGACCAGAATATTTCCGATTGATTCTTAAGGAGATCAGTTATCGTTTCGAAAAGTTCTTTTCGATTCTTGAAGCCACTTTCAAAGTTGTCGCGCTCGCAATTATCGATCAATAATTACCATGGATTTTGGAATTTTATGAATTTCACCTTGAATTTTTTATTCGTTTTCGATTACCTTGTTTAATCTTCACCATCTCTCTTTCTCTTTTCTCATCTTCGAATCTTTATTAATCTGTATTACTACAGAACTCAATCTAAGTTTATCCTCTCACTTGCGCCTGTCATCACATCATCTTCTCTCTTTATCTTTGGCGGATAAAATGTTATCCTGTAACTGGAACACTTTCCATGATATTATAATGATAATTTAACACTTATAGGTATCATCATCTTCATCTCTATCATCATCTTTAAAATTTTCCACTTGTCAAATAGTCTCTATTCCTGAGATTCACTAAATTACATTGTGATTCTCTAACATTCATATACATAAAGATATGAAATTATCTGTGGAAAAAAAATTTACAGAATGATGATGATGACAAATGCTAACAATTTATTACTCTAAATTCAATATACTCAACAATTCTCCCTGTGTTTATTTACCTTATTCCTCCATTCATATGAATCAACTAATATTTTCCACTCCCACTTTTCAACCAGAACGTGAGTAAAATTATCATAGAGAAAAAAAAACAACACTGAATTCGAATAAATTTGATTCATTGAGACACAGAATTGAAAGACAAACATGTTACACCTTTTTTCTCTCACTATCATGCTCAAAATATATTCCAAGTCAAGATAATATTCAGAAAGATTCAAATTCTCCAGAGATTTTGATAAAAGTAAATTATATTTTTTTCTTCTCTAAGTTGATATAATTTACTGATTATCATGATTATTACTATTATCATCATTACCTGTATCAAAAAGATGAAGAGAGAGAGAGAGAGAGAGAGAGAGAGAGATGAAAAAAAGTTCTGACATTATCATGATAATAATGTTTAGAACTTAAATTTCATGTTGAAAAGTGATTACTGATTTTCAATTTATTTTTCCTTCCAAAAAAAGTTATATTTTAATAATGATTAAAAAGATGATTCTGATTATGATTGTTATTATTTGAAATTTAGATTGAATTTAATGCTAATTGTTTAATTAGTTGATAATTTAGTGTCTAGAAAATTGTATCAAGAATAATTTACCTTAAGCATGAAGAGACAATAGATTATCACAATTGTAATTAAGTAATAGTTTGATAATTGTCCCAGTGATTTAATAATAAATAATTATCTTAACTAATACACTAAATGTAAACTAATTATCATGATAATTGTCTAACGATAATAACTTGAAGTTAATTTAATACTAATTAGTTATTAGAATGATTAAATTATGTAAACATGTTTTTATCCCTATTACTTTAATTATTGTAGCTTTTAATTGCATAAGAAATGAGATCGTTAATCCTTAAAATGTTTCCAATTAATCTGCTTTAATTATCATCATCATCATTACATAATTAATATATTATCAAGTCTCTTATAATAAGATTGTTCATATTAATCCGATTAATCAACTTGCTTTTTTCTTCTTCTTTTATTATTTAATCACAATTTAGATGATTATCAATGGAAAGTTGATTCGGTGGAGAGGATTGATGGACAATTAACAAGAATCATCAGCAATTAAAGTTGATTAGAGCAGATTAATCAGAAATGATGGTCAATAAGAAGATGATAACAATAGGAAGAGATGGAAAAAATTGTTCCAATTTGATTTAACTGTTACCTTGAGGAAAACGAGATAAAATCATTGATTAAATGAACACAAATTCAGTTTAAATTAAACTGATTTGAATAGAATTCGGAAAATAGATGAAGATAAATGTAACCTTTTATCTTCATCTCATCATCTTTGATTCATTTAATCATCATGATTATTTGTTAAGTAAATTTGTTCAGCAAAATGATGGAGAAAAATGAAACATCATGATGAACATTTTCCTTTATTCAAAATGAACTTTTCTCTTCGTCTTCAACCATTGACATGGAAAAAGACATTCTGATATTAATTCAGATGATGAAGATAAAAATCAACGTTAACTTTGTTTTTTATCCTTTTTTTACTCATCCTTTTCATCATCTTCATCATTTTCATCCTCATCATCAAGGACATCATCTTAACTTGCGTTTTCTTCATTCAATTTATAAGAGGATTACCTAACATCCAATTACAGAAGCAAATGAAAATGCAAAACAGTTCAGGTTTTCATCATCTTCTTTCATCTGATTTCTCATTTTATTATCTGTTGATCTGATGTCATGATGATGATAGAATGAAAGAAGATGGAGAAGAGAAGAAAAAAATAAAGATGAAGATCAAAAGAGTTGAGGATAAATGCAATTCTCTTGATAATATTTTCATTCACTGGATCAGAATTGGATAACTTAATTCTAATTCAGTTAGTCGCTTTCTCTTGATCAACTAGCACAGTTTATCTTTTGGTTTTGTTATATTATTATTATTATTATTTCCAATGAGAAAATCAGTAGAAAAAAATAAAGAGTCTCAGAAAAGTTATCGACAGAAAAACTAAGAAGATGATGAAAGTACCGTTAGAGTAGAGAGAGAGAAAGGGAATGTTACCTTAGAAAGAAAAAAAAATAAATCACTTTACTGAGAATAAGATGAAAAGAATCAATCAGATTAAGAGATAATAATTTGATTAGGATTCTGAAGAAGAAGAAGAAAAGTTCTAAATGTAAATGTTGATCATTATCAATATTCAACTGATTAACTTTTGTCACATTCGATGAAACAAATGATAAAAATTAAATATTAATTTTTGTCTCCTCTTCATCTCGATTGTTACAATTTCATTGGAAATCAATTCGTTTGACAAACAGTAATTAGGTTAATTGGTGGACAATGAGGATCATATTGCTAACCTAATGATGACCATTGATGATTCCGGTTGATTTGACTCTTTTTCTACCTCCTAATTGTTTGGATTCTCTGGACAATCAACTGGAAATTGTTATTTAATTCTGTCAATGGATCACTTTAAAATACTGTGATATCTAAATCAACTACAATAGATGATGAAAACATGACAATCAATTTTAGATTGAAATACGATCAAGTGAAATTTGATTGAATTTTGATTATCTTCATTCTATTTATCTTTATGAAGATTTTTAGATGATGATGATGATGAAATTTGATCTCTATTATCAACAATAAAGTCGAAAATATAGTTTTGTAAAAATTTGGAAAATCAAATTTATGGTTAGTTTTTAAGTTCGAGAAAAAGTTTTCATCTCTTCTTCCAGTTCTTCAATCTTCTCAGTAAGAAATTAGAGAAGTCAATGTTTCCTGTAAAGATTGATTTTCTATTCTTTTATAAAATCAATCAAAATGATGAACAATAAATAAAATAGTTCATCTTAACAATTTAAACTTAATTGTTTCATTTGATTCTCAATCATAAGCTCTCATGTGTGTGTGTCTGAGTATCTTAGTTGGTTGGATAAAGATGAAGGGAAAAAGGTTGAAAGTGAAATTGTTTTTACTTTCTGATCATTTTAACTATAATGGAACAATCAAATTACCACAAATAATCAAGTTAACGGTCACAATTTATTAAATAATGTTACAAATCAATTCTCAGATTACTTTTCAATTCAACAAGAAGAAAATAACAAATGAAAACTTTCATCAATTCGAAACTAATAGAAAACTAATTATTCGAATAAACCAAATTTTCTACCCAACAAACTATTCCTATTGTAGCACCGTTGATGACAGTTTAGTATCTCTTTAATTAGTAAGTTACAATTTAGAGAAAATTAATTGTTACAATTGAATTTAATTCTCTTGCCTGTGGCTCCATCTCGAGGTTTAGATTTTCTCTTTTCGAAGAAAAATTTTGAAATTGGCGCTTTTCTATTTCGAAAAACAAACCACACCCACAGCAACAGAATCGGTGAAAAAAATAAACAATCAACAAACCGTTTTGTCTTCATCTTGTAAACTTTTTCTTCCCTTTTTTCTCTATCATGTAAATGAAATGTATTCGGTGTCACATTCAACAACTGAACATGAATTCCATGGAAATTTGAATAGTTCTCATCTCGATGAATCGGGTGATCATCTTTTAGTTAATTCACCGACAAGATTTACTTCATCTTCTAAACTTATTCTTGGTTCACCTTTGTCACCATCAATTGATGGTAACCAGAATTTAGTTGACATTAGTTGTGGTTCACCTACACACGAAGCTTTGTCACCTTCTGTAATGGTATCAACTGATTCACCTTCATTGAATAGTTCACATGGTGATGCTGCTGGTGGTGAACTTAGTTTACTCAGTGATCATGAAACAATCAGCGATGGCGCCAATCCAATGGCTAAATCAGTTCTAATAAACGATCAAAATATATCGACTCTTTTTGAAATGTTCCCAAAAAGTGAATCTCAAGGTGTTGTCAATGAATATGCGATCTCCAGTATCGTTTATGGTACCAAATTGTTGAGTTCAACATTGATGGAGGTGGAAAAGGCAAGAGGTGATTTAAAGAAAGAGATGAAAACATTGAAGTCCATTAAAAGCCAATTAGAATCGGAATTGTATGAGAAAAGAGTCGAAATTGATGAATTAAATCAGACAATTGAGAAAAAGATTGAAAAAGAACAAGCCAGATTGGAAGAGGCAAATAAGGACAAAGCTCTTTTGGTCGAAATGGAAGCAGTTAAACAAATGACAAAGAAAGAAAATGTTTCCCTTAAACATCGTATCAGTGAATTGGAACATTTACTCAAATTGGAAAAAAATACTTCGAAAAAGAAAGAGGAAGAGATTAAACGATTAGACTCGGTGAAAACGAATTTGGAAACTCGATTGTCCCAATCAAGTGAAGAAAGTTTTAACCATCAGAAACATATCAAAGAATTGGAAGTTAAATTGAAATCGACTGAATCTCAGATGAATCGAGTTTTAGAGGAAAAGAAGGAGATTAAAGAGCAATTTGTTAAAATTAATTCCGTCCTGAGAAGTTGCCTTAAATTGGAAAATGTAACTCTCAATGAGAGTGAGATGACTTTTGATGAGATTGTACCTTCTAAAAATCGTAAATCCTATTTGATGTCAGATTTAATTGACTCTGAGCTATTGGATTCTGAGTTTGTCCGTTCAGCTTTAATCGATCTCCTTACCAAAGTTGAAGCTTTGACCAAAGAAAGAGATGATCTTAAAATTGCTGTTGAACAAGGTGAACAATTAACTCAATCAATCAAGGAAAACAATCGAAATTTAAAGAGTAAACTTGACAAATTGGAAAACGATTGTAGACAATTGGAGAAGGATAATAATAATATGTCAAGAAAAATCGACGAACTAACTGGTAACCAGGAGAAGCTCGAAGAATCTTTATCTAAATCTAATTCCGAAAAGAAAAATCTCACCTCCAAAGTTGATTCTCTTTCTAATTTGAATGACAAATTGGAAAAAGAGAAACGTAAATTAACCCATGAACTTAATTCTCTCAAATCACTAAAAGCTTTAGCCGATAAAGATGCTTATGAATCTCGGGATCGATTCGAATCGAAGATAAAAAAATTAGAAATAACAAAGGAATCGCTTGATACTCGTGTCTCTTCATTGATTAAACAATGTAATCAACTTACTGAAGAAAAGGAATCACTTCAATCAGAATTGAAGATGGTCGATGCAAAGCTGATCGAACTTCAAAATCATAATTATAAATTACATTCGGCTCTTAATGAAGCCAATCTCGCTCTTAAACGAAGTTCTGACGGAGAAAAAGACTTAAAGAAAAAGGTCAACAATCTAACTGATTCGGTCGAGCAGCAAGATGCTGCTTCCAAAGATGTCACCAAACAAATCAGAAAATTAAAGGATCAAATCCAAGAATTAAAAAGTGAACGATCATCACTTCAAACTACAATTGAATCTGACAGGTAAATCTTTCTGCTTCTATTCAATCAATACCACTATTAATATGATCTCTCTCTCTCTCTCTCTCTCTCTCTCTCTCTCTCTCTCTCTCTCTCTCTTGATTTTAGACACAATTTGGTTCAGACAAAAGAAACTGTTTCACAGTTACAAATGAGGATTAAAAGATTGGAAGTGGAACTAAATTTATCTAATCTCAAAAGGAAAGAAGCAGAATTTCAACAAACTATTTTAACGAACAGTAATATTGACAAAGAAGCGAAGATCAAAGATTTAAAAAGTGAATACGAGGCTTTAGAGGATCGACATAAGCAATTGCTTCTTAATCAACAATCTATTGAGAAAAGTTTCTCAGTATCTGCGATCAATCGTCGAAACAATGACAAGATAGCAGAAGATACTTTTAAAAAGCGAGAAATTGGTATTAATTGTGGCATCGGAGACGAAAATGAAAGAAATGTCAACATTATTCTTGAAGGTGGCTGTTCATTTGCTGAGGATACCGATTTAACTGCAAAAGGATTAAGAGCTCTAGAAGATGAAAACATTAAACTTCAGAAAAAGTGAAAGTTTACAGCATTTGATGAATGAAGCGACAATTAATTCACCAAGTGCTAAATGTGATCTATCAAATGCTCTACGAGAAGCTCAGCAAAAAGCTGAAAACATTTTATCAAATGATTCTAATCAAACAATGGGTGAAAATGACAACGACAATATCGTCAATAGCAATTTGACCATTTCAACTCCAATAATCAAACGATACTCTCGATCAGATGTTCTAATCGGTAAAGACAATGGTGCTACTCGAAGTGGTGGTCAGTCAACAAAGTCAACAGCAGCATCAACATCTTCCACTCAATCAGCTCAAGTTGGTGGTCAACCGAGATATCGAACATCGTCTCGAACTATCCAAGAATGTACCAGAACAGAGAGAACTCAAATTACTTCAACACCAATTTCATCAACTTCTATTTATCGATTTCAACAGCACCATCAAAGATCAACTTCACCAAAAAGTCACAATTAATCAGGAATATAATCAATTTATCATTAACACTCATTCCGATCAACTATTATTATGATTTTCATAAACACGAAACTTTAATACAATTAACGAATTATTTGATTACTTAGATTGGATTTTATTCATTTATTTTTATTTAGATTGTTTATAAATATTACATAGAAATGATTAATTGTTGAGAATAAGCAAAAGTATTGGAGTAGATTACCGGTTGATATTTAGGTAGAATTGATAACTTCGTAGAAATAATCGATCAAATTGAGTGAAGGTTCACTTTGAGCTTGGTTTGGACTCTTAGCCATGTTTTTGACTTGGACTTCGAGTTTACAAAAGAAACTGTTTATTGAATCGATCGGGCATTTGAACTTTTGTTTCTCACAAAATGATTTCCCTTCGATTGTCGCGTTGATGATTATTCTTCCGAAGTTACAGAATAATTGGCTCTTTGTCGAATCAGTACAATCACGATTTCGAGATCCATTATATAACTTTGAATAGAAAAATCTATTGAATTGATTCTCACCAAAATCAGTTCCCAAGAAACAAGCAGCCGAGAGAAGACAATCATCAGGCAGTTCCAAATTGCGGAATAACTTTTCGAGAACATGAATATCAGCTGATCCTAATGAGTCAAACACTTTTTGGACCTTCAAAAGTTTCACATTCGTAGGGTCAGTATTTTGCCTGAGCTCATTGTACAATAAACTATAGTGAGTAAGAACAAAGCTAGAAAATAACATGAGTCCCATGATTAATGGGTGTTGGGATAATATTGGTAACACATACTCGGCTATTTGAGGAGCAGTTGATCGGGCGATTTCAGTTACTACTTGAGGAGAAATGTACATGATGATGATTAGAATTTATTGACTTGACAATTGATTAGAAACAAAGTTGAAGGTAAGATGAATATCGATTGACTTTAGAATCGTTAATGAATATCAATGGAAATTCATCTCGACTTTTATATCGCTCAGATGATAAATAAGACTGAGAATTATTCTCATCTTTTCTCAAGGCATTTGCTCTCCTATTTCTTTAAGACGTTTTGGAAAATTAAATTGTTTATCAAATTCTTTCATTTTAATCTATTTAGCCAACGTAAAAATAAAGATGAACTTTTCATTAGCAAAAATAAATCGACAATATAGATTCAGATCAATCATACATAATAGTTTCAACAGAGAGATGCTAAATTGGTGAAGACTTTAAATGATTTAGGTGAGCATTTGGTCAATCAACCAATTCAATTGTATAATAAGGAGAAAAAAATCTCTATATTGAGAATTCTACCAATACCAATACAAATTTTATCAGAAGAATTGGTGAAAATCTTAATTTAATTAGTACGAATGTCAAATGAACTTTTTGCGATTGAAAGTATAACATGCTAATCGAAACTAGTGAATAAAAGTATTTTTTTTGCTCTTATTACTGTAACTCTTTCGTTTGTCAACCGTATCCTGTGAAGAAAGATTCCAATGGACCTGAAAAGGAAACGGAAAAGGAAGTGATTCCAATCCGACAAATGGAAACAAGAAACAAGACAAATCATCAACCACCAAGGAGACAATTACAACAACCGGAAAACAAGATGATTCGAGTAAAGAAAATTCATCATCACCTTCAGGCTCAGATTCCATTGGAACTGAATCTTCATCATCCGGAGATAAAAACGTAAATTCAAAAGGACGAAAAGGATAATCAACTATATCGAAAATTCTGGAGAAAATATTGAAATTCATCAATACTGATTAGATTAATTCCTTTGTTATTTGATTAACGACAATGAATTTAAAGATGAAATTTGATTGTTTGAAAGATTATATGAAAATTGATTCAATTTCGTTATTAATACAATTTATCTTCGGTTGTTGTTCATAATAGTTTGGCGATTTCAGAGAAATAATCAAACCAGTTGTCTAAAGATTCACTTCGAACTTGATTCTGACTGATTGAAATCCATAAACACCAATTAATCAATCGCGAATAAATGTTCATAAATTAAAAGACGAAATTTGTTTGGTTTGCAGAAAAGTTTATTAATTAATAGAAATAGCAATAATTAATTGTTAGAAATGAGCAGTTATTTTGTTGGCATAATTAATTTTCAGTTGATATTTATGAAGAATTGATAATTTCATAGAAATAATCAACCAAATTATTTGGAGATTCACTTCGAGCTTGAATTGGATTCTTTTCCGTGTTTGCAACTTTGACCTTGAGTTTAGAAATAAAATTTTCTACTGAATTGATCGAGCATTTGAACTTTTGCTTCTCACAAAATGATTTCCCTTCGATTGTCGCCTTGATCAATGTTTTCTCGAATTTACAGAATAATTGTTGATTAGATGAACCAGTGCAGTCGCGATTTTCGAATCCATCAAAGAACTTAGTGAACAAAAACCTTTCGACCGGTGATATATGACGAGACTCTCCCATTAAACAAGCAGCAGAGAGAAGACAATCCTCACCAGAAAACTCAGAATCATGGAATAAACTTTTGAGAACAAAAAGATCAGCTGATCCCATCAAATCGAACACTTTCTGGACACGTAAATTCATTTTATCCGTTGGGTCAGTAAACTTAGTGAATTCGCTCCACAATGAGCCATATTTGGTCAAGAAAGAGCTCAGAGTTAGCAAGAACAAAATAACTGATGGATGTTCGGCTAACATTGGCAACACATACTCGGCTACTTGAGGAGCAGTTGATCGGGCGATTTCAGTTACCACTTGAGGAGAAATGTACATGATGATGATTAGAATTTATTGACTTGACAATTGATTAGAAACAAAGATGAAGGTAAGATGAATATCGATTGTCTTTAGAATCGTTAATGAATATCAATGAAAATTCATCTCGACTTTTATATCGCTCAGATGATAAATTAGGGAGCCATGATCTTCTTTATCCTTTTTCTCTCAAGGCATCTTAATATTTTCATCGCTATTTGTAGGCCATTTAATGATTCCTATGATTTTGTCCACCTTCCAGAGATACTGAGCCTCAGGCGAGTTAAGTTGAATTTCTTTCCTTTACTTTGAGATTAAGCATTAAGTTTGATTAACTTTTTTGCTTTTTTGCTTTTTCGTTTGATTGGTTTTTTGGAAATTTATTAATCGACTGATACAAAACATTGTCTTCTCATCATAATGATTCCAATTATACTACAGTATATTTGGTGAATATAAGACTAGTTGATGATAAACGTGAATAAAGTCAACTAGGAAAATTGTTGAAAGAAAATTTGATTTGATTGTTTGATTTGTTAATTAGCTTGAGTACAAAATTATAAGTATTATTTACATAATCTCATTTAGATAAACAAAATATTAAATAATAAATTAAGATAACGAATATGATCAATTACAGGATGTGTGAGATGAGATGTGATATCAATAGTTGTAGTGAAAACTGATTGATCATGATACTTGTTAATTATTGGTTAGAATGAGGAATAAGATCACATAATAGCTGAAATTATTAATTATTAATATTACTATTGATGAAAGTCAATAAAATTATGGTCATTGGACAGCCTTTTTTTGGTATTCAGTTGAGACAAAATCGTAATCATTTGTGCTGTAATAGACCATACTTTTGGCCATGAATCTATTGAAAGGAAAACAAAAGACATTAATTAGTTTCTGACAATCAAAGAATCATCAATATATTACAAACTCACTTTAAAAAATCATGAATATGAGAGAGTAAAAGTTGAATTTCTTTTTCATCTAAAGCTGTATATGCTAGAATACCACCAAGACGAGCTATTGGTAAATGGAAAATAATAAAGATTTAGTATTTGATTGTCGAGATTGGATTTGGTAAAGATGAAAAATAGAAACGATATTCACCAAATAAACGCAACAAATGAATGAATCCGTAAAAAGATGATGGCTCTTTATCCTTATTTTCATGGATAAATTGTTGATACTGTGATCGTTCAAATTTGTACAATAATTGAGAGCCCAACATTACATTGAAGTATTCCTTGAATCCATTAGTAACTTCAATCAAAGTGGCTTCTTTGGCTGCGTTCAGTTTACTTGATTTCTTAATTGAGATATAATCAGAGAGAATTGCATCTACTGGAACACTGGAGGGAAGTTTACATAACTTTTTCTGTCTAACAATTAGATCCCAATCCTCCATGAGAAGTGGTTTAAGCTCGTCCGGTATTTTTATTCGAATCTCCAATTTGTTGGTGTAACATTCCTCAGGTTCAACATGAGGCTCGATTTTGGGTCGTTTACTTTTACTCTGCTCTTTGTTTGATATTTTTCCATCGTTGTTCAATTTTTGTTTGATTCCTTTTTCAATAACCATTGGTTGATTTGGTTCTCCGGATCCTTTCTTGTTCTTAAGTTTACTCTTATTCTTCGCGGCACTAAAAATAGAACAATAGAAATTTTTATCAAGATTAATAAGATAATGATAAAAATCGAGAGGTTCATAGATATTGAATTTTCTTTGAACAAATAATTTAACTTGAGATCAAATAAAATGAAAAAGTTCTTACTTTGAAGCTGAATAAACATATTTGTGGCTTTCAGAGAGATCCTTTTGTTTGTGGACATTAGCATCATTGTACTTGAGAATACGACTTTCGTATACCCACTCGTCCCAACTAATTAAGAAGAGTTAAGAAAAAATCGAAATTAGTTGCAAAGGAAAATTTGTCACAAAAACAATAATAAGAAAGAGAAGTCACTAGGTAACCTTTTATTCCATCCTTGATAATGAACTAGATATCGAACACCACCAGATTTTATATATGCGACCTTGAGACACTAAAAATAGAAAAGAATAAAGGTAAAAGAGAAAAATTGAAAGAAAACATGAGAAGATGAATCGAAGAAAAAGATGAACATAAATTAGAATTTGAAACTGTAAAAGTCTTGAAAGGTAAACTAAAAAGAACTAGTTGCCAAAAAGATTATGACACAATAGAAAACAAGAGATTTTCTCACCTTAGCTTCATATAGTAAAGGCCCATGGAAACAAAGTATCTTTTCACCTAATTGGGACAAAAGAATAGAATAAAATGAATATTCAGTCAATGGAAAATTAATCAATTACAAATGAAATTACTAATCAAACATGCGATGGGAAAGAAAAATATTTACACAAATTAGGAACTTTACCTTCTGAGAAACAAGGTTTCGGTGGCATAATTAAAGGCCAAATTAAAAGGATAACAAGTAACTAATTGCGAAACAATGAAAATGAGACAATTGATTAAGATAAATTAACAGTGAAAATTAACAATTAAATTTAAATAAAAAAATGACAAAAATTGTAAAGAGAAAAAAAAATTTTCTTTTTTTTCTTCTTTTCTAAAGTTACGCCATCAGGTGAGGAAAAAGAACACCAATCGAACCGAGAAAAGAAGCGGGAATATTTTATCTTATTCTTTGTTAATCCGATTTACGATTCTTTTTAATTGTTCGTTTTTCGATCAATTTTTTCGATTTTTTTACATTTTTTGAATGAATTGAAATCTATTACATCGATAGCATGGATTACATTGTGACCAATGAAGTAAATGTCACACGAAATTAAGTAATTGTTACCTGGATGATAACAAACAAAAATCAGTTTTTTTTTTCATTCAAGTTTGACCTTTAATTTTGTTGATAATTTTGATTCATTTATTTTGTTGTGTGTTTAATATTTAAACGAATTAGATTTTTTTAATTACAATTAAAGTAAATGGGTAAACATTAAAAAATGTTGTTCAGTTTACTGTTAAGGTTACCCTTGAATTTTGTATGTATTGTTGTTAAATCATTGAATAGATTCAGTGTCAATGTTATATGAACAAAAATAATGTCCAATTTTCAAGGATTCAAACTGATAATCAAATAAATTTATGAAATAATTAACTTCCGAATTACTGAATAGTCCTTACAATCCATTGGTGAATTAACTTGATGATTTAAAGTCTATTTATTCAGACGATTTAGTCTTCTCACCAACAACAATCAGAGAATTGGTATAAAAGACCTGACGATTATCACATATCATTAATTGCTCATCGATCTTTGTACTAATCATCGTTAAATTGTTTCTGTGTCTTCCCGTGAGAAAATTTAAATTCAAAATGGCTACAAGTCAATATCGAGTTACCCTTTTAATTGCTCTTGTTACTTTAATTGTAATCGTTTTCGCTGGTCAAACGTCTTCGGTGAAAACCAACAATTCCAATGGAACTGAAAAGGAAACGGAAAAGGGAAGTGATTCCAATCCGACAAATGGAAACAAGAAACAAGACAAATCATCAACCACCAAGGAGACAATTACAACAACCGGAAAACAAGATGATTCGAGCAAAGAAAATTCATCATCTTCAGGCTCAGATTCCATTGGAACTGAATCTTCATCATCCGGAGATAAAAACGTAAATTCAAAAGGACGAAAAGGATAATCAACTATATCGATAACTCTGGAGAAAATATTGAAATTCATCAACACTGATTAGATTAATTCCTTTGTTATTTGATTAACGACAATGAATTTAAAGATGAAATTTGATTGTTTGCAAAAAAAAAGTTTATTAATAAATAGAAATAATTAATTGTTATAAATCGAATTTCAGAAAATTATTACAATTTATCTTCGGTTTTTATTCATAATAGTTTGGCGATTTCAGAGAAATAATCAAACCAGTTGTCTAAAAATTCACTTCGAGCTTGATTCTGAGTTTGTTGCGAGTTTTTGACTTTGACTGAGATTTTAGAAATGAAACTTTCTACTGAATCGATCTGGCATTTGAACTTTTGTTTCTCACAAAATGAATTCCCTTCGATTGTCGCCCTGATACTTATTCTTCCGAAGTTACAGAATAATTGGCTCTTTGTCGAATCAGTACAATCACGAGTTGGAGCCTCATAGAACCAACGCATGTAACTTGATCTTATAGTCTCATTTTTGTGGTTTTCACTTCCAGCGAAACAAGCAGCAGAGAGAAGACAATCCTCACCAGAATATACGGAATCATGAAATAAACTTTTGAGGACAAAAAGATAAGCTGATCCGGTCGTATCAAAGGTTTTATGGTCCAGACCACATCGCGGGTCTGGTGCGTTATACATTTGCTTAAAATCATCACAAAATTTGCTCAAAGATGTCATATAAGAGGTACAAGTTAACATGAGCATTACATGTAATGGAAATTGTGATGATAAGGGTAACACATAACTGATGATTTGAGGAGCAGTTGATCGGGCGATTTCAGCTACTAATTGAGGAGAAATGTACATGATGATGATTAGAATTTATTGACTTGACAATTGATTAGAAACAAAGATGAAAGTAAGATGAATATCGATTGACTTTAGAATGGTTAATGAATATCGATGGAAATTCATCTCGACTTTTATATCTCTCAGATGATAAATAGAATGAGAATTATTCTCATCTTCTCTCAAGGCATTTACTCTCCTATTTCTGTAAGATGTTTTTAGAGCCTAAATTGTTTATCAAATTCGTTTGTGTTAATCTATTTAATCAACGTGAAAGTAAACTTTTCGATCGCAAAAATAAGAAGAAGAGGAAGAGTTTAAATGATTTAGGTGAGCATTTGGTCAATCATTCAATTCAATTGAATAATAATTAGAAAAAATCTCCATATTGATAATTTTACCAATACAAATTTTATCAGAAGAATTGCTGAAAATCTCAATTTAATTAGTACGAATGTCAAATGAACTTTTTGCGATTGCACGTATAAACATGCTACCGTATCCCGTGAAAAAAGATTCCAATGGAACTGAAAAGGAAACGGAAAAGGGAAGTGATTCCAATCTGACAAATGGAAACAAGAAACAAGACAAATCATCAACCACCAAGGAGACAATTACAACAACCGGAAAACAAGATGATTCGAGTAAAGAAAATTCATCATCATCTTCAGGCTCAGATTCCATTGGAACTAAATCAATATCATCCACAGATGAAAACGTAAATTCAAAAGGACGAAATGGTTAACCAATCATGTTATCATGTCGAAAATTCTGGAGAAAATATTGAAATTCATCAATACTGATTATACTGTTTCCTTTGTTATTTGATTAACGACAATGAATTGGAAGACGAAATTTGTTTGTTTGCAAAAAAGTTTATTAATCAATAGAAATATTAATAATTAATTGTTAGAAATGAGCAATTATTTTATTGGAATAATTAATTTTCGGTTGATATTTATGAAGAATTGATAATTTCATAGATATAATCGATCAAATTATTTGAAGATTTACTTCGGGCTTGATTTTGACTTTTCTCCGTGTTTTTGACTTTGACTACGATTTTAGAAATGAAATTTTCTACTGAATTGATCGGGCATTTGAACTTTTGCTTCTCACAAAATGATTTCCCTTCGATTGTCGCCTTGATAGAAGTTCTGCTGAATTTACAGAGTAATCGTTCATTTGGTGATTCAACGCAATCCGGATTTTCAATTACATTAGAGATCTTTTTGTAGAAGGATCTTGCGGCTTCGTCTTCCGAACGCCAAGCTCCAGTGATACAAGCAGCGGAGAGAAGACAATCCTCACCAAGAAACTCGGAATCTCGGAAAAAACTTTCGAGGACAAAACGATCAGCTGATCCTATTAATTCGAGCACTTTCTGGGTATGAGACGTATTCAGGTTCTCAAAATTGGTAAATTGAGTAAACTCATTCCACAATAAACTATGTTGCCTCAGAATACTGCACAAGGTTAACAGAACTATAACAATTGATGGATGTTGGGCTAATCCGGGCATTACATAATCGGCAACTATAGGAAAAGTTGATCGGGCGACTTCAGCTACTAATTGAGGAGAAATGTACATGATGATGATTAGAATTTATTGACTGGACAATTGATTAGAAACAAAGATGAATATCGATTGACTTTAGAATCGTTAATGAATATCGATGGAAATTCATCTCGACTTTTATATCTCTCAGATGATAAATAGAATGAGAATTATTCTCATCTTCTCTCAAGGCATTTACTCTCCTATTTCTTTAAGATGTTTTCGAAAATTAAATCGTTTATCAAATTCGTTCATTTTAATCTATTTAATCAATGTGAAAGTAAAAATAAACTTTCGATCGCAAAAATAAATCGACAATTTAGATAAAAATCAATCATATAATATAAGTTTCCACAGAGAGTAGATAAAAAGGTGAAGAGTTTAAATGATTTAGGTGAGCATTTGGTCAGTAAAGGGTCAAATCAAAAAAAGGTTTATCATAAACTAAATTGGTAATTCTTTCAACACAAATTGAACCCGCAGAATTGATGAAAATCACAATTAAATCAAATACGAAATTTGAAATGAACTTTGGCTCCACCTGTTGAGAGTAGAAAGAATCTCATCTTATGCAATTGGTAAACAAAAGTGTCTTTTCTTGCTTAGATTAATTTGATTAGATTTATATTTCTTTTGATTAGAATTGTAATTTGTCAATCTTGTTAATTTTGTTGAAATTTTATAACTCATCATTCAACAATGATTACTTGCGCTCTTTAATTGTTTTGAAAGAGTCAAGACAAAAGAAATGTCTGTTTGCAGGTAATTTTAATCTTCCCAATGATTAATCATTGATCACTTACCTTTATCTTCACAATCACTGGTTTTCATTTCATCTTAATAGCTACTCTATCAACCAATCATCATCAACAGTCATCGTAATGATTTGATGGTATATTGGTTAATAATAATCTGGATTTGAGTTACTTTTGTTAAGCTAACAGCTGAGTGATTGACTCGTGTTGACAATTGAAACCAACTCATCACAATCAATGAACATGGGCTCAGCCGATCAAATTAATCTCGATTTATGTTTAGGTAAGAATCTCATCTAAACAATTATTTCCCTTTGTCTATTTATCATCAAGATTAAATTATCTTTTCTATTGATGTTTTTATCATTGATTTTCCCCTTTATTGTTGCTCTCCTTTAGCTCAAGCAGCAAATCCTCTTGATGTTGAGGTTAACGATGAAGCGATTGGTCAACTTGTCCATTTGATGAAGGACAATAAGGAAACCATTGGATTTGTATTGAGATTTTTTGGTCACAAAATTCAATCACCTCATGAATTGGAAGCCTTGAAAGCGATTAATGTTATTCAAACTCTAGTTAAACGATCAGATAGAAAATTCATTGAAGAGGTTGGAAAATTTAGATTTCTCAATGAGTTGATTAAGGTTATCTCTCCAAAGGTGAGTTAATATCTTCCGATTTCTCTTGATTCTCGCAAATAATCATATCAAACATGATTAATTCAATTATCTTCTCTTACTCTTTTCAGTATTTAGCACAAAGATCTCCAGACAGAGTCAAGAAAAAGATCATTGAATTGCTCTACCTATGGAGTATTGAGCTGAAACATGAACCCAAAATATTTGAAGCATATCAAATGCTGAAAAGACAAGGAATCATCACCTCCGATCCAGCTCATTTGTTACCTGTAAATATCATTTAGTTACCCTTAGGCTATCTGATTGTTTCTAATTTAACCTTTTTTTAAAATCTTCCAGGAAAGTAAACCTATTCCTCCACCGCCACCAAGACCGAAAGATGAAATTTGGGATAATGCTGAAAATGCTCTCATGTTGAAACGATTAATTCAAAGTGGTCAACCAGAAGACCGGATTGCAGCTAATAAATTGATTAAAATGTTGGCTCATCAAGCTGATAAGAAAACTGAGATCAAATCTCGATGTCAAACTGAACTAGAATTGGCTCGTAACAATGGTAAACTTTTCTCTGAAGTTTTGGCCAATTTCAATTCATCGGAAGGTGAACATTTCACCGAGAAAGAGCTTCTAGATGAACTATATGATAGTTGTAAAAAATTACGACCTAAATTGTTTAAATTAGCCGGTGAATTGTCCGAAACTGAACCATTGTTTGAAGAGCTTCTTAAAGTTAATGATGAACTGACTAAAGTGATCAACGAGTATGATGTTAAAGTTAATCAAGTGCCTCAACCAATTGGCAATGATAATAATACTAACCCTGATTCTGGTAATTTACTCTGGGAAAATTCACCAATCAGAAGTAATTCATCAAAAGCTTCAACATCCTTGTCAACAACAATTACATCAAACAATAATTTGGTTGACATAAGCTCACCAACAACTGAATCCTCGTCATCTTCAAGTATCATTACTTCAACCGCTGCCTCTTTGATGACCTCCACTAATTCAATTCCACTGAATGGTTCACATTTCGGCGATGTTAGTTTACTAAGTGACCATGAAGCAATCAAGGATAATTCTGATTCTAATTCAGCTGTCAGTTTACCCCCACCAACAACAATTAACAATAATAGTGAAACCATGTCAACCCTTTTTGAAATGTTTCCCAAAACTGAAACTCAGGGTATGGTGAATGCTCATGTTAATTACTTGAAAGATATTCTAGTTCCCTGTATGCATAAACCCCCGAATGTTGCATCAATCGCATCAAAAGATTTACTATCATCCTCACCTTTCACAACACCAACATCAACAACAATCACCGAACCAACAATTAGTAAATCACCTAAACGATCAACATCATGTTTAGATGAGCTGGAAAACATGATGAGATTAACGTTAAATGCTGGACCTAAGCCAGAAAATTGTGGTGATTCCAATATGCCTCTTAATGCATTACGAACAATGATTAACATTCCAACTATCGATAAACAATCAACAACATGCAATCAAATGAACAATATTATAAATCCAACCATCGAATCAAATATTAATCAATCAGACCTTTTAATCTCACTGAATTCAAAAGAACTGGAAACAACCACATCATCAACTGAATCAACTGAATCAACTGAACCAACAACAACATCCACTTGTCCTTCAATTGTCTCATCAATCACTGATATTTTCATCCCATTAGAATCAGTTGAACCCAGTCAACGATCACCAATCATCCTAGTCAATGAGAAAGAAATTAAATCAATTTTAAACTTCGGATCAAATCAGCCTCGTTCCGATGTGTCCGTCGCCGTTTTAACCACGACCAATTTATCAAACAAAACAATTAACAAAATCTATTTCCATATAACCTCATCAAAGGTAATTCACTTTCCCTCTTTAATTGTCAATAAGTAATTCGTAATCTAATTGTTTTCCTACTGTTTCTTTTTCCTCAGGGGATGAAATTCAAATTTCAAGCACCATCTTCAACGACTTTATCACCTTCGAGTCCATTTTTACCTCCATCGGCAATTACCCAAGTGATTATTTTCGCAAAATCGAGTCCAAGTAAACAGGAAGAATGTCAATTCCATCTTGAATATTCAATTGAGACCGAAAATTTCGATAAATCCGGAAAAGTTATTCTTTAAACGCGAATTTAAATTTAACAGTCCACTTATTATTCAATTGTAATCCATCTTGATTACAATAAAACTTTTAATTGTGTAATTTAATTATGTATTTATTAAGAAAAAAGCATTTGAAAAATTAAATTGGTGATTAATTATAAGAATTGTACACATTTCGGATTGATTGTTGTTAACTAATTGGTTTCCAATCCACTGGGATAGCCACTGATCCTCAAATCAAAATCACCTCCGATCCTTATACTGGATTTTTACTGGACTTTCGAGGTGATCTAATCCGATTAACGAACCTTTTGATTGATCCAATGAACGAAAATGAGATGTTTGATTTATCACAATTAACTGATTGCTGCTTCTTTGTTGATCCTTGCGGTGGTGAATGATCAATGATAATCAAACTCTCATCCTCTGGGATGCAAACACTGGAGCAATTGAATTTATCATTAGATGAGAAAATGTTGTTTGTTGAATTCATGATAGAATAACAATTAACTGATCACAACTACCTGTTAATTGTGCCAACAGAAAACGATGATTACTAATCAATGAAGATTCGTCTTAATTTGTATTCATTTTTATACTTTTTTCACCAGTGGACTCAAGATCGCATGTCCAATTCAGTGGATTAAATTAAAATATTTAAGATGATTAAGCTTCTTAACAATCAAGGTAAATTAACCTCAGGTAAACCACCTGTTAATTAAGGCTAAAAGGTTTAACAATTAACCCATTTAGTTCTTGCAGATCAATAGTTAATCTTTTCGTTTAGATTTTCTTTGAGCAATTGAAAGATTTTCTGTTTTAAATGGGAATCGTAATTTTTGAAACAATTAAAGATCAATGAGAGTGGTTGATTAACCTGATTGCGATTGGTTGGAAAATTTAAATTGTGTTATGGTAACGAAAAGCTAATCAATTGATGACTTTTCCACTTTAACCTTTTTCTAGATAAATAAGTTAACTAGATTTTCTTAATCATCTCATTTTTTTACATTTTCACCTCTTTCATTTTCTTAATCTTATCTTTTTTTTTAAATTAATCCTTAATTAGTGGCTAATTATGTCTATTTTTCCAGGTAAAAGTCAATTTATGAGCCGAAAATCGGGAATAATTAAGAAACGAATTGTTTGGACAAGAGATGGTGGATATGTACAGGAATCAATTGACAAAGGTTAATATTTCGAGGGTTCTGATTATATTGTGATGCTAATTTATCTTCTTAATTGTTTACATGTTTTCTCAATCAGGATGGATTATGTGCCCTCGATCTGCGGTAATTATTAATCATATAAATTGTTTTCTTTCATATAAGATCATTAGATTGTTTTGGCTAATAATCTATTCAAATTTTTCTGGTTTTCTTGTCGACATTCAGAGCACTGAAGCTGATTTCGGACGATATTCTGACGACTACCCTGAAAATAACCCTGACCACGAAGGTGAATCTCCATTTACCTGTCCCGATGAAAACGTTGAAAAGGTTGAAGGGGGCGAAGGTGAATGTAAAGATGAACCTCTCACTATTCCTGAACCAATGAAGTTAAAGGAGATCGAGGCGTTAATAAAAACACCGGAAGAATCAGTTACTGTCCATGATGGTAACGGAAACACTAATGATGAAGATGATAGAAATCATCCAGGTTACGGAAGTGCAGATGCTGACGAGGAAATGATTCATTCTGTAGCTGAGGAGGCGGAAGTTACTATTGGCGATGAATCTCAACAGAGTACAAGTCAAGATAGTTTTGAGCCGATTGCGGGTCCAAGTGGAATCAATTTCGGTGCAACCACCAGTGGATTGAATCTTCCCTCTTCCTTTGAAGATGAAGAGGAAGGGAAAAGGCCAAGGAAAAAAGTGTGTACGATTGATTATAATGATTATGATTTCGACGATGAAGATTATGATCATGGTTACGATTATGAGGATTACGATCTTGATGACGATGATTCAAATAACAATGAATTCGGCTCAACTCAGACGATACTTCCACCGCCGTTAATACACCATAGTTACACTCGAAGTCAACATTATCATACAGGTGAACCAAGGGAGGGCATTAGTGCAGCCGATTGGAGTGAGGCCGGTCCTTCAGGCGTTGGTCAAGCTCAGCCTCAGATTAATTCTCAGCTTGAATCTCGACCTGGTTCTCAACCCGATTCGGGACCTTCGTCGTCCCATGCATCCGCTGTTTCGGGCCCATCTTCCACCGGGGCTGTTGGTGCTCCATCTGATTCCGATCTTTCCTCTTCCTGTTCCCACCATTCACTTGTTGATCGTTACACTCACATGAACATTTCCGGTTGTGAAGATCAGACTGATGAGGAATGTGCTTTTGATGAGAGTGACGATTAATCAATTGACAACAATCAACGAAATTGTAAATCTTTTCCAAGTAATTACATCAATCGAACATGAATTTTTTTCTTCTACTAAATTTCCTCAAACAACTTATGACATTTTCTTTAATCACTCAACAATTTATGTATTTACACATTTGATTAACATCATCGAGACTTCATCAATCAGATAATTTATTTTGTATAGTTAATTTTATTCATCTCAATTGTAGGACTTTTAAGATTATCATGATTATAATCTCATCTATGTATAAATTACATTTAATAGTAACAATTAAAAAGATCTGTCAAATTGATTTGGTTTCGTGATAATTTCATTGATTACTTTAAAATTGATATAATTTCATCATCTAATCATGAATAAATAGATTGAGAAAATGATTAGATTTACAATTTCTAAAGCATTTTGATTGTCAATATGATATTTATACTGTTGATTGTTTAGTAATCAAAAAAATTAAAAGGGAAAAATATATAAATATATCAAGAAGATTAAGGATTTAAGCTAAATTAGTTAATCAGTCAAATTGAGCGAGAATGATGAAAGCAATTGATTGTCTCACTTTTTTGTACTAATTCAAATTGTGTAATAATAATATTCCAATTGTTAATATTAGTAACAAAATTAAAATTGATTTTCGCCTAATTGTTTACTTAATTCAATCTTTGATTGAATCTCTCATTGGGAACATTAATAATTTCGTCCGCATAAATGATAATAAAGGTAATTCCTCGAAAATTCTGTTTGTTGATTCTGTTGGTGTGATTGTTGATGATTGAGATTTAATTGTTGATCGCATTGATGATGCATCTTGGATATGAGAGATCAAATTGTGGAATGGATCAGTTGATGATGAAGATATGATTGAAAGTGGTTTGGTTGATGATTCGTTGTTTTGAACTGATTGTTCAGATTCTGTGGAGTAAAAGAGGAGAAAGACAATTAGAAATTTAGTTCAACAATTAAATTGTTTGTCTGAAAAAAAACAACAGTTAATTACCATTAGTTTTAACAGAGGCTTTTGGACTTGAACATGGTTGCATAAAATTTGGATTATTAAGGAAAAATGTAACATCAAGTAAATTGTTTGATAGTTGATTGTTGATGGAGGGCTGATTTTCTTCCGATTGATTAGTTAATTCACTTGAATCATTATTTGGTTTGATAGATGAAGATGATGAGGATGATGAGGATGATGAAAGTGAGGCACTTGAAGTTGTGTTTTCAATTTTAGGTAAAACCATCGGTGGTTCCGGTTTTGGTGACACTTGGGGAACTTTATTTGATTCAATTGAATTAGTAATTGATATTGATGAACTTGAAGTAGATTTTGTTATTGGCAATGTTGATGATGAGGATGAAGATGAAGATGAATTTTCAGATTTTGATGGTAATTCCATGTTGGACATTTTGTTGACAATTCGATGGTCAGATGAGTGAGATGTTACTGTTACTGGTGAGTTCATGGTGATCTCATTGGATTCTGAGCTTGACTCGAATGAAGTGAAGAAAAAATTGTCAACCTGGAAGAGGGAGAAAAAAAAGTAAAAGAGACAAAATTAGGAACTAAATTAAATCAATGAAAAGAGTAAATTATTGTAACCATCAGAGCATAATAGTTGATTAGAAGAGGTTAAAATGATTTTGACATGATAACGGAAAGAAATGATTCCATAATCAGTTGACATTGAAGTTAATTGTGGAAAATAACAAAAAGTAAATAATTTGAATGAGGAAATTGTGTTTAGAAACGGTTGAGATACAATAAGCGTAACAATTAAAATTGATGTAGTAAAAGAAAAACCTTCCCATCATGTAAGAGAGTAACAATTAAAGATTGTGTGTAAATTAATGTTGAATAATTTATAACTGTAAACGGTTTGTAACCTTTTCCGGTTCAACTGGAAAGAAACGGAAATACTTTTACAGCTAAGAATCAACCTAATATGTATCAAACAACTAAATCTAATTAAAGAGACAATTGATTTTTCCGAGTAACTATTTACTGGTAGACAGTAAATTCATCATGAAAACAAGGTCATCATCATGATAGATTTACATTCATCACCATTCAGATCAATTGTTGAGTGAAAAAATGTCATCTTCATGTTAACTGTTTTTTTACCAACTTACATTTTTTTTATCGATTTTTAAAGATCTGAGAAAGACTTGAAATGAATGTGACGATTCCCAATTTAATCGGCATGATGTTGATTCTTCTGGATTCAATAAATTCTCCCATATTTTATAACTAAAAGGAAAAAGAATGGAAAAGAAAAAGAAAACATTAGATTCAACCGACGGAAATTAGGCCATGATAATAGTCGATGGAAAGAGTTGCACCATTGAGATTACAATTCTGATTGAAAAGGTAAGTTAATTTCGATAGAATTGAATGAGAATGATGATCAATCTAATCACTATCACAATTAAATTAGAGTTGGTGTTCATAACAAACCTTTGAGATGTTTTATCTTCAAATAGATCAGCTGTAATACTGTGTTCGGCTTCAATATGATTATCTTCAATGGCCTTAGTGAAAGATTGATTAATAATATTATTCAAGGTTGGTAAACTTTTGGCTAGTTCATTAATAGTAAATGAATCAGAAAATTTTGGTGATGATATTAGATTTCCAGAGATATTTGATTGACAATTTGAACTGTTGTCTATTTGTGAGCCTAATTGATTATCACTTGATGGCCTGGTCCTTGTTGTCGTTTTAGTTTCATCATTTACCAATGGAATGGCCTCTTGAAAATCGGTGAAATCATCAAAATCATCATCATCATCTTCTTCTTCGTGGTGAATATCAGGATCAACAGATTTACAGTAATTATCACCAATCAAATCATCTCCATTAATAGAATCAGCAGCACAATTAGTACTCATGGTTTGCAGAAAAAAAGGAGCTTCAAGCTGAGGAAAAATAATCAGGCCAGAATTTACCTCTTATAGAATAGAATTGGATGGAAATTTCAACAAAAATAGAAAACATATATAAGTAAATCAACAATTATAAAATATAAACAAGAAAAGAAACAAAAGGAACAACAATTAAAATAGAAAATTAATTAATTGAAAAACGAAAAGAGTGAAAAATAAAAGGATAAGTAGAAAACAGAAAAATAGGAAAATAAAAGAGGAGAAAATGTTACAAGATTTTCTGTTGTTGATGTGGTTATAAGGTCACTTTTGATTGTTTGATTATCTTTTCTGTTGAGATTTAATTGTTTCACATTATCGATAATCAATCAAAAGCTAATAACATCACAATTAACAATTAGTAATTAATAAAATAAAACAATTAATAAAAGAAAGAGAGAGAAACATTTACAATCAAAGAGGAAAATCTTTTTGTTGTTACCAAAAAATCAGCTGACTTACATTTGAAATTAGAATGAAAAAAAGGCGGCTAATTCAGCCGATCCAGAAATGCTTTTCTAATTTTCATCAGTTAATTGTAACAATTAAAATGAGCAAGTGGGTCTAATTTCATGAATGAATCAATTGAACCAAATTTACAATACAAAGTAACTGAATATCGTTTTATTATTAATAATTATCAATTTGAGTTTGTTGAATTGATTCAATTGCAATTACTTTTCAAGTGATTTAGATTATTGTAAATTGTTTATTGATTAATTATTATGATGGTTAAGAACGAGGATCTAATGATACTCAATGTAATTTGTAACTTTGATCATCAATAATCTAGATGATTATGAATCAATTATATAAATAGTAAGAGAAGCAATTGAATTGTAATTGTGAAAGAAAAAAAAATTATGAATGAAATCTAATCACTAACAATTTAGATCAGCTCTCTGTCCATTTGGAGTATTAGAGTAAAAATTATATTGAATGAAAAAGAAAACAATGAAGATGATGAAGATGAAGATGATACTCATGTGATAGGAAAGTGCCTGAAGAATTGTAATTAATTAAGTTAATAGTTGATCTCTCGTAAAAGTTAACAATCGGAAACACTTAAGCATTTCCGCTCTTTTGAAAAGGTAAAAAATATTACATAGATTTCGACAGGATAAAGATGAGGATGAAGATGAAGATGAAGACAGTTATCATCTTGATAGAGTAAATTGTGTTACCAATTTAAAAATCAACACAAAGTCCATTAAATAGTAAGCTAATTGTCGCAAATCAGATAATCCATTGTCATCGTCATCTAATATCGTTATTATTATTACCTTAACCTCCGCCTATTTGTCGTTTCATCTTAATCATTTCAAGTTAAATTAACAATTAATCATCTTGATTATCGGTAAACTGAATGGGACAATTTCCTGTTATTCAATATTAACCGATTACCTTTGCCTCTTCATTCAGATTGTCAACCTGATTTAATGAAATGATTAAAATCTAAAAGAAAAGAGATTAAAACAAACAATCAGATTTAATTGTAATTGATATTGTAATTGCTTGGGAGGCAATTTGGATTCGTTGATTTTTCATTAATTCAAAGTGTCAATTGATCTTAGTTAAGCAAGAAAAGTCATGAATGAAGCATCTTCTAATTGTAATACTATCAATAATACTATTAGATAATTGTCATTGATAATTGAAGATTAACGATTAAAAAAAGAGGACTCTAAACAATTAAGATAATCAATTGTCTCGTATTTGTGTTTACATTTGATTTCATTCATGAAATGATTTGATTGCTTAGTTATTACAATAACAATCAAATAAAATATCATTTACATATAAAGTAAATTAACTAATTAACTTAATAATATTTTCGTTTCTATTGAAATTAAATTGGAAAACTTCATTATCAACAATTAAGAGAGAGAGAAAAATTAACTAAGGTGGGTCGCTTAAAATTGACAATTAACTTTAAACCGGTTCACAAAATGTACTAATTAACTTTTGATATTCAATAGATTTGGAAAAGTGATCAAGGTTAACAATCAAACTGTAAATGAGTGATCAAAGGATAGTTCAATTAAATTAATGAAGTAAATCAGTTATTGGGCAATAACAATCAAGAAAATGATGATGATTAGTTAGTTAGAAATTGCTTATTGATATTAATTTGATTGTAGATTTTTCTTAAATGATTAAAATAAAATGATAATCAAAGGAAAGGAAATCGACTAACATCCGATTAGGCAAACAATTAAATCAGCAAACAATAATCGTTAATTGTAACTAAATCCACTTGATGGAGAAGAAGAAGAAGAAGAAAAAAAATTAACAACGACAACGATTTAAGATGAAATTGATTGTTCAACACTTCCGGCGACAATCATGATAATATCAATTCTTAAAGATCTCAGGTCATCATCATGATTATCTTTTTCTAATTTCATCTAATATCACAATTAATCATTATCTCCATGTTCACCATGGTAAATAGTGATAAAGTCTTATCATGATGAAATAAACTCTCCTCCCATTAACCATATTTAGGTTTCCATCAACTAAATCTGCCAATTCATTCAACAATTAAGTTCCAATCAAGGTTTCTAGTCAATGAAGTGACTTTTCCGTAGAAATACACATTTAACAATTAACTTAATCATCTACCTCTCTTTTTAATTTTCAAGTTCTTAGTTGATCATCACAATTAATTACCTTTAGTCTTTGCAAACCAATTTACACTCACAACAACTGCCATTTACTTTCAAACTGATTGACAACAATAAGTAAATCAACACCAATCAATTAATTAAATATCAACAACTACTTATAAAATCATCATCTACAAATCAAATCACCGTTATACCGATAAATTGACTTTAAATTGTTAGATAATTCAATCAATCAGTTAACAAGTACAAAGAAAAAAAAAGTAAGAGAAATCATTTAATTGCCTTGTTTAATTATCCTTTTGTCTAAATTGCTGTCTAACCAATTAGACAACAAATACCTGTTGATTGTTAATCATAATCATTGATAATTTTCCTCATTTTCATCAACAGAATCAACAAATCAACAATGTCCACCTTAAGAATCAGTAAATCAACAATTTTAACAACATTAGCAATTTGTTTCTCAATCATTGGTAAGTACAAACCTTTTTAATTGTTTCCAAAATATCCCTTTGTTTTAATTGTAGTCCATTGATTGTAACAATTAGTCAAACAATAGAAAATCAACCAATTTGAAGATCACAAACTAATCCAATGAGAGAAAAAAAAAACAATTACGATGTTCCTCTCAAGAAGATTAGTTAATTTCTAATAAGAATTAAAAAGAGAGGGAAATTAATCAGATAATAGAAAAGAGATCATCTGATTTAATTATCTTGTTGTTTTCTTATTATTTTCATTGTGTGACAATTGGAATTATCAATCAACTAATCTCAATTTGATTTCGGTTAATCCTCGTTCTTAGGAGTTTCCAGTGAATCTGGAGTTGGTGCTCGAAAGGAAAACAATGCCATTTCCGTAGCCGCTTATGGTTCGGATAAAAATATAATCGATACTCAACCTGTAAGGTGTTCAATCTGTAATTCAATGTCACCCAAAGGATTATCGGACGTTGAGGTCCGGCGGATTGGAGCTGTTGGTCAAGATTGTATCACTAATCCAGAGAAATTTGTCCAATCCTGTGACCAATGGCGATCTGATTACGGCTTTGATCATCCATTGAACAAATCAGTTCGATTCACTGGTTGTTATAAGACCGTTTTCACCTACGAACATGATATCGAAGGTAAGAGATTCAGAACTTTTCCCTCGATTAATTTAAAACAAAAAGTTAATACATTGTAACCAATTTGTGTTTACAAAATTAATAAATTGTTTCAAGTTAATTGGTTCCATATGATTTGGTTTCAGATAAATGACAAATCACTAATATCGAAACCATGTAATCAAAGTGAAACTAAATTAGCTGAAATTAGTTGAAGTAACTTCAATTATCCTTGTGAATATCAAGCAAAATCAATTGTCTCCATCATTAGATATTAACTCAAGTTAACTTGTCATCAAACCAATCATCAAATTGTCAATATTTTCACAGTCTAATTTGATTACATGATTACATGATATTCAATTAATTGTTAACCAATAATTGAGACTATTGATCAATCATTAATTTTCCAGGTAACGATAAGGATGAGGAACGAGTAGTTCGAAGCTGTGGTTTCCTCGGGACACCCGGTTGTTTCCGAGCCCCTGGGCATGGAACCACCCAAAGGATTTGTTTCTGTCAAGGGCCCGAATGCAATGGATCAGGAGGATTAATCCCTGGCTTCATAATCTTAATCAGTCTCGCCTTATCCTCGATATTGTTACGACTTTAGATTAACGAGCTTCATCAATCTCTTTACCTTTTTTTTTTGATTTTTTTTTCTCCATTTAATATCATCAGTCATTAATTAATCGACTAATTAATATATAAAATATTATTCCAATGAAAGTGCCTAATAATAATTTCTCATCTCTAATTGTTTCTCTAATTTTAAATTGTATAAATTAACTATTCAAATTTTAAGAATATTAAATATTAATCTAAACAATTTGCAGAAAAAAAGTTCACCTTGGTTATCATTATTGGTACAATTAGTTAATTTTAACGATTAAATGACGAATCAAATGTTCACAAATTTGTTACCGTAACCTAATTGCTGTTTTTTCTCATGTAATTAACGAATCTTCAACAATTAACTAATTCAATTTATGATCTATATAAATCATAAATCATTTGGTTTAAATCGGTATCATTTTTATTGTTACAATCAGAATGAACTTCTTAATTGTTTCATCACAGAATTACAAGGTTACATATTTACAGTAGATAAATACAATAAGAAATTAATTGTTACAATTAAAAGAATGGAAAGTAAATTATTTAAGTGACTGTTCAAGTTATGATCCATTTATGGACCAATTGGAAAGATCTGAGGCAGTTTTTAAGAAGACAATTAAAGATGATGGTTCGGTTTACCGTTATAAATCAATACGTTGATCCAAATTGTTAGAGTCTCGATCATCGGATTTGGTTTCGATCGACAATTGTTGGTAAATTTTACGATATTCCTGATGAATTGTTGACGCGTTTGGCCTCAGTTTGGGATCTTTATGTTTACATTGATCGTGAATTGGTTCCAATAAGCCAATTAATCGATGACAAGATGACGACAATTTAATAAACCAAAGACACACATCAGGTATCTTCCAAATATCGATCTTCTCATTGTAAGGTGGCATCAAATTGTCGTTAAAAGGTTCATCTGGATAAGGCCAAAGTTGTTCGGGTGCTACAAAGGTACCAACTAATTGTCTTGATCCACATTTGATTCCTTTCCCTTGTTGAACATTGGGCAAAGCGTCAAGATCATTGAAAATTAATTGTAATCCATTGACCGTAAAATCAGAATCATGATCAACAATTGAGAGTAACAATTGAGACAACAATTTATCAAGTGTATTTGAATCACACATAACCAATGGTCCAGAAGGATGTGAGTGTAAATAGTTGATTAAATCAACAAATTGAAGGCACAATTTAAGACAATCACCTAATCCATTGATAATTGGATTAGGCCAAAAGTTATTCCAAACAAGAAGATTCAACGGATTACCAAATGGGTGAAATTGTGTCATAATTATTGAATTGTTACAAATTCCAAGCAATTTAATAACCTTTCCAGAATCAGCTAATTGTTGGATCATCTCAAGATTATGATTAAAATCATCTTGATAAAAGTTAGTCTTTAATTGAGACAAAGCAATTAAACTTTCCCTCCATTTGGCTAACCAAACCACCTTAACAGCCCCTTCACCAATCACGGAAATTTTAATAATCTCATCCAAATGATCACAGGTTAAAAATTGATCCTCATCTTTAATTGTCACAATTAAATCATCGATTGATTGATCATCACCATGAGAAAATTGAATAACTGAAAACCACCGGTGAACAAAAATCAATGAACAAACTGTTAACAATAAGAACAGGATCAAAGCAGCTTCTGGGTTAACCATTAATTGTCCTTAATTTTATCCATGATAATTTGAATCTCATCAACAATTAACTAAATTCAGTTAGAAAAAAAAAAAAAGAGAAAAGAAAAAGTGAAAATAGTAAACAAAAAGAAACAACAATCAGCTGTTAAAATAGAGAAACTGTTTACCAAAAGAAAGAGAAAAAAAATTCTCTTTCTCTTAACCAGAAAAAGAAAACAAAATTTTCTCTTACCTGTTAATCCATTTTAATTGTTTAATCTAATTGTTGATTAACTCCCACCATGAGGTCGCCATCAATTGAAGTGATTTTAAAGGTAAGTGTTTATGATTACGAGGTTAAAGTGTTGATTAATTAACCGAAATACAATCAAATCTTCAACCCAAACATTTGATTTGCTTTTTGTTATTGTTTTTAAATTGATTTTGCTTTCAGGTTGTTCACCAATTAATTGATGACCAGTGTGGCAGAGATGGTCCAATTAAAGACAATTATGTTCCTGACCATTGGTCAGATGAGAATGAATTTAATTCATTTACCTCGACAATCAAACAATTAATTAACCAAAACATTGACTACAAACATGGACAAACAATTAAGGTCTGATTAGGATTTTTACTCTATAAGAGATTTTGAGATTTTCTCTCTCTCTCTCTTTGTTTTTATTTTATTTTTCTCTTTCTTTTCTTTCAACAGGTTCAAGGTGATTTACCTGAGGAAGTAAACAAATCAATCCTGGAAGCAATTGAATTAAGGAGACAAGAAATTAAAAGTAATCTAATTGGTAAAATCCTTTCATCACCAATCAATTTACCTTTGAAAAAAGTTCTCAAAGATTTTGATTGGCAAGTTAAATTGATTCTTTCATCAAATTTACTTTCGGAAATCAACGAGTCTCTAATTAACTTGGACCTGTTGCTAATTAAATCAAATTATCAAAATTTTAACGATAATTCTGATAACCAGGAAATAATTTCAATCGAAATGGACAAATGTGAGATTAGACAATTGATTGAGAAACTAGAGGAACTCATGGATAATTTGGATCGTTAATCAAACAATTAAATCAACAATCGATTTAAATTGTTCACCTTATATTAACTCATACTTATCGAAAATTTGTTTTGATTTAATTTATTTTTTCTAAATTGTTTTTTATAAAGTAATTTCAACCTCGAAATTTAAAAGTAACTGTCAACATATTTCTCCAAATTTTCGACAATCAAAACTTTTGTACCTTCGAACTTAGTAAAAGACTTAAGGTCACTAACGGCGATTTAAAAGTTCGAAAATTGTAATGAAATGAACAGTTCAATTTTCGATTTTCAATTATTATTCGATGGAAAGAAACTTTCACCTTGATACCGATTGTTTCTCGATGATTTGACCCATGGATTCGATACTCAAGGGAACATTTGAACAGTTCGAACTCAGTGGAAAAGTTAATCTTCTCATGTAAATGATAATTGGAAATAATTAGAGAAACAAAAATCAATAGAAACGTGATTTTTTTTCCATCTTAATCAAAGGTCGATGAATGAATGTAGGAAAAAAAGATAGAGAAAGAAAAAGTTAATTGTTGATGGATGAAAATGATGAAGATGAGAAAATATCAAAGTATCTTCTCGACTACGTGATCAATCACATTGCAATTTGTTGATTGTCACTAATTCACGAGAACGTCACTCAAAGTATCTTAATCCCTAATCAATTGTTCCCAATAAATGGTAACAACATTGATAATCAAAGTAAATTAATTTATGGTCAAAATGGGTTATAGTTAAATAGTATTTGCAAAAGTCAAACAATTAACATTGGAACCGTTACTTTGGTCACTCTGATTGTTGATTCTTGTTATTGGTCAATAATTATACAAAATTTTTACTCTCTAATCAAATAACACAAAACATTAAATGAAATACTAATAAACCCTTAGGGGGATTAAGTTAATTTCTATGTATCACTTTTGATTGAATAAAAATTAATCTTTCCAAGTGCAAGATAATATTATCTTCATCTTCATCTTTTTCTCCATGAAAATTTCATTGGTCATCTTTTCCTCCTTAATCTCTCTCATCCTCATCCTCCCTCCTTGAATCATTCAGTGGGAGGCATGATCATCATGATATATAAAAGGCTACTAATTGATGTGAATTATTTCAAGTTATTTTGCTAGTGTCCACTACTAAAGTCCAGTTAGTTGATTGAGAAAATTTCTTATTCAGTTATTCAAGTTTATCTGCAATTAAGTTCAACTGATTCTCATAATCTAAACGGTTAATTGTTGACGCAAGAGAAAAACAAATTTAAACTCCAAATTAATACTAATTGTTGTTGATTATCTTTTAATTGTGATCGACAATTTCATCATGTTCAACAGAGAGATTATCTTAATCTACTTCTTGGTGACACTAATCACTTTGTCAACGTTAATTAAACCCTCGTACGAGAGGAAACCTCCACTTAATGGAAGCATATTTGGTAAAAGGTCATCAATGATGGAGAAAGGTAAGTTAATTATAAGCTAATCAAGTGCAATTAGTAAATTGTTGTGCAAAATTAATTGGTAAAGAAAAAGAAATCATCTTAAACAATTAACTAGAAAACGAGATGATTTAGTTCACGTGTTGATTTGTCCGGTCAATTGAAGTTGTTAGATTGCAGTTAATTAATTAACTTTCACATGTTAATGAGTTGAATAGACTTATAGACTTGAGGACAATAAACTTTTCCATTCACTTAATTGTAATTAACTAATTGTTATATAATAACAAGAAAAACCCTTATAATTTATAGTATATTCAATTAGTTGATTTCTTATGTCATTTTGATGAGTTAAATCCACTGAAAGGGTTAATCAATTTTAATTATTTACTATTAATTTAGTTGGTGATTAAAGTCAATCAAATTATTTGACATTAATCTGCGGGTTCTGATCAATTATCTTGATTAGTTGTTAATTTTTTCACTTAATTGTTGCATCTTCTATCAACAGGTTATATGGATGCGGTCTCAATGTGTCAAGCATTTACCAAGATATGTTCAGCTTTGGAGGATCGTTCATATTGATTGTAAAGGTTAATCAACAATTAAATTGTTCCTTCCTTTTAATATTACTCATTAATTACTAATTATCTTGAATTGAAACTGTTTAATTGTGTGAGTTAATCAACATAAAGAAAAACTAACAATCAAAACGATTGCAATCCCAACCTTTACATGACAGAAAACATAATAATAATCAAAAGAGCCTAAAAGAAACACAATCAAATCAACTGACTCAACAATTAACTAATTACAAACGAGAACGTGGCAAATATTTGTGACTAAATGATTGAATAATCAATCTGATTAATGAAATCACCTTAACCATTGATGGAAACCAAAGTAACAATTAATATTGAAAATCACCTTTACACTGGAATCAGCGAAATGATTACAAAACAAATTACAATTAATCATCACAATTAATGATGATTTAAGAATGAAACAGACATTAACCTCTAGAGAAAAAGACAGAGACAAAGACAGATAAAAATGGAGGAGAAACAATTATCATCCTTCTCATCATTGGAATCATTTTTCTTCATGGAAAACAATCAAAAATCAAACATCCAAATTCAAAGAAGCTTAATCCAAACCCTCATGAGCCCATATCATCATCATCTAAGATCATCATCATCATCATCAAGCCAACAGGTAGAAGTCAAATTGATGATAAAGAAGATGATAAATCTTTTCTCTTTCTTTTTCTCTTACTTTTCTCTCTTCCAGGGAGTGAGAAATTCCCTGTAAAAGATTCAATTTCTTACTTTTTTTCGAACTTTTCTCTCTCTCTCTCTTTCTTTCTTTCTCTCTTTCTTTTATGTTAATTTCAATGATTCTATTCAGATTAAGATGATGATCATGATGATGAAGATGATTAACATGATGATGATAACAATCAAATCAAATTCGTGAGCTATTGTAACAATTTAACTCTCAACATATCAGTTACTTTATATAAAAAGCAAATCATTTCAAATCAAATCTCTCAAAAGTAATTTAACCAAATTATTGTTATCAACTGAATCAAATTACATTGTAACAATTTAACAAATTTCTGTATTGGTGATTAATTCATTTCTTAAATTATCATTATTATTATTACCAAAAAGTGTAATCAATTAAATCAAATCTAAGATATTTATTGAAGTAAATCATATATTTATTAATACGTTTCATTCAAATTCAATTTAATTGTTTCATCTTGTGGACTAAATTAATTTTAATCACTTCAGTCATGAAATTTACTGGTAAGTATTAATATTTCATTTGATTTTCATTGATTGCTTACAATTAGTAAATCATCATAATCTAAATTATATTATCCGAGAATCAAATTGATCTGATTGTGACAATTGCCCTTGATTTATGATTAACTTTTTTAATCTGATTTTCAATCTAATGATGAACCAGATTCACTTAATATTATTGACCATTAGATATTAATAGTAACAATTAAATCCTAATTAATCCTTTAAAGCTTAATTTTGCTTGGCACAATTAAGATTATGATTTATATCCTTGACCTGGTACTTGATTACTTGCAATCACAATTAATAAGATTTTCATCAAAATCCAGTAAACAATCAGATTAACAATCATTTTTTTTCTGATCAATTTTTATTTAGTTGATCATATTGATTTTAATTGTTTGATTGTTGAAAATTAACTCTAGTTAATTAATGATTAGGTTAGTTAATGATAAATCCCTTTGAGAGTAATTTCCTTAACTATTGATGGTTAATGATTTTGGAGGCAAATTAAATTGGCTCGTTAATCAACTAAATCATTTTAATGAACTGATTAAGCTAATAGAAAATCTCAATTGATAATTAACAACAATTAACTCTGATAATCTTTTCAAATTAAAAGTTAATCTGTCTTTCTTTCTGGAAACTCTTTAAATACAACTCGTTAATTAATTGAATATCAATACAATTAGTTAATGAAGAACTTGAAATTATATAAAAAGGAATCAATAGAAATTAAAGATTTAATTATAAGTGTAATGATTAAGGTGAATAATTAAACTGTAATCAAGTCAGAGCATTTGACTGACGGTATTTTCTTAATTGTGATTAACGAATTGATCTATTTTTGATTTCTCTCAACAGGTAATCCGTATTTGTGTTTGTTAATTGTTGTCTTTCTTGTACAATTAATTAACGGGCAATTTTTCACGAAAACATCTAAATCAATTCCTCGAATGGGTCGAAGGTCAGAATCTGATCCAATTACAAAATCTTCACTTCTTCAAGCAATTTATGGACAATCAGAGGGATCGAGTGGACAGAATTTAATTAAAGACGATCAAGAAGTTAATCAAACCAATAATCCAGAGTATCGATTAACTGGTGAACAAGATGAAGAAATAATTAAAGATGAAAATGATAAAGATGGTAAATTGTTTCTCTTTTAATCAATTCTACAATTAGTTAATCAATAGAATTAATTTTTCTCTTAATTGTGTTTCAACAGAACCCGAATATACCAGTATTGTAATTAGAAATTTAAAGAAAGTACTTCGAGCCTACGCAAGGAAACATCGTAATGATGAATTAACTATATGATCATTAATCGTTAATCATTAATCATTACAATTAACCACAAACAAAACACTGAGGGAGCAAAATAATTAACCTGATTGTCAACAAAACAAAATTTAAACCATCAAATATGAGACTAATGTATTGATACCTGATAATTTGTAATCACAAAGTGTTGATTTAATCACTTACACTTAAAAAAAACAATTAAATAACCTGAACAATTTACTAACAAACAATTAATCGGCTGATCAAGCAAAAAATTAATCATGACAATATTATTTAATTTCTCTTCTTTTTCTTTAGACTAATTCACTTCAACATTAATATAATCATTTTATACAATTAAATTTGCGTTTTGTTTTACAACAATTTAAAGTTGATCAACAGATAGACAAATTATATTATTAGTAGGAAGAAGGTTAATTGTAATCATTCAACTGGAGAATCGGTAACTGTATTCATGTCAACCTGATTGGGTTATTATTGGTTCCGGTTAATTGTAGGGTTGATTGTTGATTGTAAATTGATCACAGTAAAAATTAATAATCCTTAAAGTCGTATGATGTTAATGTGACCAAAAGCTTCAATGGACAATTGATTAGGCTGAATATTAGATTGTGGAATTAATTTTTTGCACCAAGTTGATTCTCCGTCGATTTGGTTGATTGTTGTTGTGATTAGTTGATTGTTTATACAGGTGATTAAAGAGAAAGAGAGAGAGAGAGAAGAGATAACTTTGCTTCGCAGTCTTAATATTAATAGAATCATTTATAAAAGAATAGTAAAAACATTTCAATCCTCTCTTGGTACAATTAAATTGGTTGTGTAATTAGTGTATCACATTTTGCCAGATAATCTCAATCAACATGGAACTAAATCATTTCTTTCATGATATACATACATAAATCAATATGAGCTACAACAATTATCTTTAATTGTTGGGGAACAAAGCATTTTCTTGTAGGATGTAATATATATATCATTTAAATATAATATACAGTTTGGATCAGGAAAGAAAATCATAAAAACCCAAAAAAGTACTAAATTGTGTATAACTGTTGTTGAAGATGTTGATGATAAAGATGATCAGGATGATGATGTTTCTTTTCACATGAGATTTCTTTGTTAAAATTTTGTCAATTTTCCAATCCGAAGGTTAATTTTTTTTTGACTGGTTTTCTTTTGTTGTTGTTGATTTAATTTGATGAGTGTTTCCGATGAATCTTGATGGGGTTTTGATTTCATGCTGCATTAAATGTTGGTTTGTAGTTACTTTGCCTTAGATAGTAAATGAATAATTGATGATGATGATTGTTTAGATGATGGATAGTATGAGAGACAATTTAACAGAATTCTTTTTCTCCATTTTCTGTTCTATTATCATTTACATGATCAACTGGATTCATGAACATCAAGTATTTCAAATCCATTGTCATCAACATTGTTAAACTTTACTGGGTTAGATGAACCATCGTCACCCTCCAGTAATGGAGCATCTTCATCATCCTCATCGGTAATCTCATTCTCGGTTCTCACTACCTCTTCTTCTTCTTCTTCTTCCTCCTCTTCTTCTTCATCATCCTCATCCTCGGTTGTTTTACTTCCTTTTCGATCGCTCCTCTTATCGTCTACTATGCTTTCGTCACCTGTTTGATCTTCTTCAGTCTTTTCTTTCTTCTCTTTCTTTTCTTTAGTTTTCTCCTTTTTGTCATCCTCGGCATCTTCCTCTTTTGATCCATCATCTTTATCTTCGCTCTTTTTACTACCCTTATATTCGTATTGATATAATGGCCAAAAAGATTCCAAAACGCCAACGTCTTCGGTAAGATTTGGGAGGATCCAGAAGTTGTGCTTTCCAAAAGTTAACAACCAAATTATAACAAATATAACGAGTCGGACTAAATTATCATGCGATTGATGAGAGAGAGAAAAAAAATCAAGAGAAATTGATTAATTGAATGAATAGAAATGAACCTTTTTGAGTATTGAAAAAGAGATTTAAACAGAACTTACGTATTACAAGTGAGAAGACAAAGAGTAAAAATCCTGCACCAGCTAAACTTAAATAATAGACAAAATTACGAACGGGCTTAGGCCATAACGGGAATAGACATATAGCAATAGCTGCAATCACAAATAATGCTCCAATGAACCAAGTCTTAACGGGAATTGGGTCGTATATCCAAACGTAAGGCTGAATAAATATAAAACATCAAAAGATAAGTTAATTAGGTGATGATGTCAATAATGATCTTCTTGGGGTACGATTCCGATAGAAGGTATTGGAATGAATATTAATTAGCTACTTACATGATTTCCATCGACAAATATTTGCTCTAGATGCATGTCAAGTTTTACTTTCTTTTTCTCTTTTTTTCGCTCTCCATCTTTTCCTTCCTTTTTCTCTTTACTTTCTTTATTGGTAAGTTCCTTGTCACCTTTATCATCTTTATCCTTTTCAGTGTCCTTAGATTCATCTTTCTCATCTTTGTCATCTTTTTCGCTTTTACTATTTTCTTTAATTTTGTCCTTTTCGACTTCTTTGTCTTTCTCTTTTTTGTCCTTTTTCACTTTATCCTTTTTCTTTTCTCGATTATCTTCGGCTGCGGAGCTTTCTGGAGGATCTGTGGTTAATGATGAGAAAATAAAGTAGAATCAGCAATTGTTGATTGATGAAGATAAACAAAAGAATAGATTTTGTATCATTTTAACAACTTACCATCTCCACGTTTTCGATTATCTTTCTTACTAACAATTATTGGCTTTGCTCGATGGAAAAATTGATGGACAAGCATTCTTTGCATGTAGCCTACAACAGAATCTCTGGTGGTGAACATTGCATCTTCACCTTTATCATTTTTGGCCCACTTTGAGTCAAGAAGACAGTCTATTGCCTTAGAAGCTAAAAACAGAATAGGAAAAAAAAAACAAAAAAGAGATCACAATTAGTTAAAATGTCGAACTGTGAGACACACAAATTGAACAATCACAATCACTTACCAATGAAATAATCCACTTTGTGGCCTAAAAGTGTAGTCCTTTTAGATGGTAGTTTACTTCTTAAATACTTGGCAACCTCGAATTCGATTTTTTGAGATTTGTCATCTTCAACAATCTCATCAATCTAACAGAAAACAGAAGAGAAAAGAACAAAATTACATAACATTAGAAAAGAACAACAGAGAAAAGGCTGAACACCATCACATAGAATATTTTAACAAAGATGTTTCAACCAAAAGGTAATCAACCAGGCAAATGTATAAACATGGCGGTGGACATAATTCTTGTTAATTGTTGTAATAAAATGATTGAATAATTAAAATCCAATGGAAGGAGAAACACTCAAATACCCAACACGTCACGTCAAAGAAAACATATTGGCTTTCTTTCTGTTGATGTGTGAATTTTTTCTGGTTACCTGGCAGAAAATGAAGATAGAAAACGAAAATGGTCACTTCAAGACTTACCTCTCTCTTCTTTTTACCTCTTCTTCTTTCAGCCATGATTATAAGTCAATAAATTGATACAATTAAAAAGAATAATTAGAGAAAAACAATTGATTTTAACCGAAGAGAAAAAAACTTAAATGGCAACAGAAATGAAGAGGAATTGAAACAAACAAGAAGCGAATTCGGTAAGTGGCTCCCTCGTCGTTTTCCATTTGAAACTTTAAATTTTTATTTTGATTTTCTTATCAACAATTTAATTTGCTCTTCTTTTTCTGTCAATTAGATTTATTTCTATGGTTCAATTTTGTTGTCTTTTCAATTGGTAACTTGTTTGAAGTTCTAAACATTGACCCTGATTTACTGTGCGTTAAAATGGAAATGCTCTTATCCCTTTGACATCTCAGGTAACAGAAATTGGAAGACACCAAATGTAAACCACACCTAAAATTAATTGTTCTAATTTCTTTTTCTTCTGTCATTTTCAGGTCTATTTAATATCCATTGGAATTGAATTTAGTTAATACAGTTAACTGGAAGCATGATGTCACTTTAAGGCGTTTTATGATCTACTGTCAATGGAAGAAAGAAAATGGGTTTGTTTGTGAATATGAATGTGTATTCATGAGTAACAATTTTCTTGGAACAATTTTTACGTGGGTTATTAATAATGTTTTCTTTTCTGTTACATTATTTATCCATTAAGGTTACATTGGAAACAATTTTCATCGATTACGATTCAGCTAAATTTCTGGATCAACTGATTATTTTGTATAACCATCAAGCTGAGTTTTAACATGTTCAGCTGATTTATGATTTATCTCTCTATCTGGATTTGCCTTTTCCATGAGACAACCTGTTGACTGTGATGATAATTTTGATTTTATTACCAGAGATATTTAGGATCATCTAATATTCAAATTCTGATCAGAATAATCTAAATTAAGATTGACAATGGTTTACAGAATTTATAATTACCTTGTCTCTCTTAAGACGTTTCAATCTGATCAAATCATCTGTTTTTCACCTTTCATCATTTATAATCCAATTCAATCAGCAAAGAATGACAATTAGAAACAAATGGTAAATCAAGAAAGAAACAATCAATTCAATTATTTCAACAATCAAAACCTGGAGAAAGGAAAAGTAATTGTTAACCATTTTTCTTATCGATTTCATCATGGAACATTTTAATTACATCATCAAAGAGATTTAATCGATAAACAATCAATTGTTATCTAAACATTAACCAAAATAATGGTTACAATTGATTAATTCCAATAATCAACAACCATAATGGATCAACGTAGTAACATTTTCCAAAAGTTAATGTTGATTAGTTTTCTACAATTGATCATGTCAATTGTATCAAACAAGAGGAAGTGATTTAAATTAACGTGCTACTATTTGAAACAATTTAGATGATGATCAACGAAAGTTTTCCTCACCTAAACCATTTACAATTAACCCAACAATCAAATCTAATCAATTATGAAAGAACCGCTTAAAAAAAGATGAACCAAAAAAGGTCATGAGCAAGTAACACATGGAACTGGTAATAACTTGTTTTCGTAATCAGAGATTCCAATTTTTAATTAACATTTGATTATCATTCTTTGTTAAACTAATCATTAGGAAGAGTTGATTAATCTTCCTTTTGATTTCTGTGTGAACATCGTCATCAAATCAGTTGGTTGGATCGTAATTAATTGCTCAATTGAAGATGTAAAAAGATCACTTTGTCAATAATGTTTCCAATTGGATCTTATTACTGTTTACATTTGGAAAATTGTTGATCATCTTGATTACGCTTCTTTCCATACAATCAACTCACAATTTACTAATTACTCCACTAATTTAACTCTTTATCCATTCATCTATCGCTGTGAGGTCTCAACCAATTTTGTTTTTTCCTCTCCAATCAAATTGGTAAGTCTAATTGATTTTTTTTTCTCCTTTTGTTTCTATTAATTTTTCTCCTTCCTGAATTTCATTATCTCCTATTACTCTTACTAATTATCTTCATTCACTATCATCATAATCGTTTGTGTGCTAACCATACATTTAGATAATCTCTGTCTTTCAAAACATCTATTGTTTTTCTTTCTCATCTCTGTCTACTTTTTTACTTTCTCTCTCATACACAATTTCCTCTAAGTGAGTTCCATTATTAACTCATTCTTTTACTTTTCATTCTGATCAACAGATTGTTAACTAATTGTTATCGCTCTTGTGCTCCCCTGGTATTCTCTCTCTCTCTCTCTCAATACATATAATATCCTGGAAAAACTGTGATTCCACTCAATCAACAATTCTGGAGCCCTTACAACCCATTGAGTTGACAGGTAATAATCGTCGACATCAAACTAACCATAATCACCATCATATTTATCAACAAGATCAGTCAAATATGTCGAGGACTTCATTCCGAGAGAGAAGGTTAATTGTTGATTTATTCGTGATCGCCCTGGGAATTAGTAGTTGGGTTGAAATTAATGGATTATGGATGCAAACACCAATATTAACAACCCAATTACCAGAGAAATGGAATCTTGCTTCATACATTGTCTTAATTACCCAACTTGCCAACATTGGTCCAATTACTTATGGATTATTGAGAAAACGATTAAAGGTGAGATTTGATTGTTGATAACCTAAAGTCTTAAATGATTAAGGATCTAAGCCTTTAATCTTAAAAGTGTCTCTGTAACTGTTTGTGTGTATATGCACTTGGATTTAAGTAATAATAATTACACTTATATTTGTGAATAGAAGTGATTAATTTGATTAAACAATCAAGTTAATTATCAAACACTCTCATGGTTTTCCGTTTACTGTTTACGTGTTTATCTCATCAATAATATTTACTTTTTCATCACAACATCTCAACCAAAAGGTTTCTTATTGATTCAATCAAGTGGAGATTCTTAATTGTTGAGATAACATAAAGTGTTAATCTTCATGTTGTCACCTACTCAGTTAATCACTTAAATGTAATAACAATTAATTGTTTCTCTTTTTTTTTTCTTCATGTTTATCGTTTCTCTTTCCAAATCCTTTTTAGCCACACGAAGGGACAGTTATCCATGTGACCCTTTTCATTGGCACTTTATCGTCAATCCTTTTAGCCAAATTTTGGAAACACACAATTAAAATTGGATCAGATGAACACAGTGTCCCTTTTCTGGTACTAACTGGACTCTTGGCCGTTGTCGATTGTACCTCGTCGGTTCTTTACCTTCCTTATATGGCCAATTTCAAATCTAAATACTTAATGTCATTCTTTGTCGGAGAAGGTCTTAGTGGACTATTACCTAGTGTCGTCTCTCTTTTCCAAGGTAATTAAACTAATTAATTCATTAATTAGTCTTCCATCCATCATATTACATTAATATTAAGTTAATTAACATGATACGCAGGGAAAAAAGGTCTCATCATGATCAAAATTTTGATTTGTGTGACTCTTGATTTGAAAAAAAAAGGCCATCGGTTGACAAATTAATTAGTTTTTCAAATGAAACAATTAGGTTAACCAAGAAGTTTTCATATTCAAATTATGACATGATTAAAATGGTTACTTTCAGTTTTATTGTCACTTTTAATTTTAATCAAATCTTCAATCTCTTTGCTTTTCTTACAATTTAAATACATTTTAAGGTTGAGTAAATACAAAGACTATAATTTAAATTGTCAATGTTTGTATCATAATGTCTTGTATTTTGATTTGATTTGACAAGGACAAAATCATTAGTTAATTGCTCTTGAACCCAGAAACATAATTTAACATATAAAACACATAAATCTTTATAACTGTGATTATTTAATATTGTTTAACATTAATCATCATCATAACGTTTACTATAATTATAAGATTAACTAATTATTTTCATTCATTTTTTTTTCATCTCTTTTCTCTGATTATGATTAGGTGTTGGTGGTAATCCCAAGTGTGAAACCTCAGTAATTAACGGAACTATTCACAAATTTGCATCTTATTCGGAACCAAAGTTTTCAGTCTCATCATTTTGTATCTTTCTTACGGTTGTCATGCTGGTCAGTTGGCTATCCTTTACTCTACTTAACTCATCTCTGTGTCATTCCGAGTTGGCTAATGAGAAATTAGTTAAAGATGATGATCACAATTCTGATGACCAACAAATTAAAAATCGAGGTGACAACGAGTCACCTATTTTAGGAGAAAAGGAAACATTTAAATTGACTCGCAGTCGAATACGTTATTTACTATTTCTTCAAGCTCTTATTTCCGCCCTGACCAATGGGGTTTTGCCCTCCCTTCAAAGCTACTCTTGTGCTCCCTATGGTTCATTATCCTACAATTTAGCGGTTAAATTAGCTGGATTAGCTAATCCAATTTGTGCTTTTCTTGCCTTTTTCTGGAAATCAAGGATTAGTCTCAGAATGATCAACCTGTTGACCACCGGTGGTCTATTGTTTTCCCTTTACACCATAATTCTTGCTGCTACAAGTCCTAACCCTCTTCTGGTTTCATCTAGATTTGGATCATTTTTGTTAATTGTTGCTTGGGTCTCTCTTACCGGAACCTTTTCTTATACCAAATCATGTATCGCTTCAGTATTTCGTGATTTCTCAAAGCGAGGACAATTAGCCCTCTTTTGGGTCGGTGTTTACACCCAAACAGGATCAGCAATCGGAGCCATACTTACCTTTATTTTACTTAATTTCACACATATTTTTAAATCGTACAATCCCTGCCAATGATTGTTAATCATCAAAGTCCATTAATCAAAAACACCATCTCAATTTATCCAAAAAGAGACCAGCCTTATATCATTACGATCACAAATCGACATGAAACTCAAATCAAAACCAATTGATTGGCATTTTATCCAATCAAAAAGTCAACAAATTTGTATTATCTTTGTCTTTCCTTAATAATTTAATCATTTTGTAGTTAATTAATGTTAAAGTATTGATTGATTGTAATCTAATGGTAATTGGTTGATTAAGTTTATGTCATGAAGATGTTAAATTAATCATCAATCGCAATTAACATTTTAGATTATTTTGTATAGTTGATCTTAATTAAGAGTGAAGAAAACTAATCATTATTATCAATATTATCAATTAATATAAACATTTTCTTTAATTGTTATGAAACATTTATTTAATTTAATCAAAAAAAAAACATTTTCAGTGAACGTGAACAAAATTTATTATCATTTTAAATGTGATAATGATCAACAATCCAAAGATTATTTAATAATAATTGGTCTTGTAATTAAAACATAATTTAAATAACAATACAAATTGGACTGATTATCATATCGATGAAATATTTAGATCAACAATTACGGTCTGATTGCTGATCGTAAATTGAGAATTAGCAACATAATTATGCTCATATTTTCCAGAATATACTTTGATTTTTAAGAAGATAATTAGTAAACAATCAAATTAAATAAGATGAATATACTTACATAGGCAATAAATTGAGGTTTAATTGTCAGTAAATCTCCAATGAGCACTCCAGTATCTGGATGATTAAGTCGATGAATCAATTCCATGGACTATAAAGAAAGTTAATTAATATGAAATCATTTTGTTCAGCAAACTAACCTTAAATTGTTGATTAATCTCATTTTTTGAGCGTACTAAAACTCTTAGCAGATTAACCTGTAACCCTTTAAGCTTGACAATCACAAATAAAGTAAATAATAAGTTAACACTTGATGAAAAGAACAACAATTAACTAATTGTTTACCTTAAGGTAGAAAAATCCACAAATATAACCTCCAATACCAACAAAGATTAAAAAATAAAATCCAAAAGCAACAAGTGAATTAGACCACAATTTAGAGCCAGTGTCAACAGTTAATCCAATAAATATGAAGGAATCACCACAGAATGAGATCAACAGGAACAGGACTAACAACATGTACCTTATATCATCTATTAATTTATCAAATCTATTCATGTATTTAATCATGTGGACGTTGAGTGATTTAATTTGCTTCTCATGGGGATTAGTTAATCCATATTTCACTAACGACAAACTGAAGCGATCAATTTTATCCAACTGAAAGTAAAGGATTATACTGTAAAGTATCATACAGCCTCCGATTAATGCACCCCCGAGGACATTAATAGCTAGTACAGTAGCTTCAATGATTATCCAAAAAAAAGATGAAACAATTAACTGATAAGTTGCCAACGATTTAGAATTAGCCAATCGGATTAATAATGGTAATAGAATTGTTGAAACGATGAGAATTTGTGACAATCGTATTATTATGATTAAAACAAAATGGAAAATCTTCTTGAATAATTTAATTTGTTCCAGATTAATGTTGAGATAATCAGGTGAGAATCGATTTGATTTAATTTGGGAGAAAATTCTCAATGCAATGTATCGACCCTGCTTTTCGTAAATTAAACTCATTTCATGGATTAACATGTGAGTTGATATGAAAACTATTGTAAACATGATGAATGATTCACGGCCTTTGACATCAATCAACGGATCGGCGATAATTGTTTGATAACAATTAGATGAGATAAATAATAGACCAATTAAACGTAATAAAGTTATGGAAACAATTAGTCGAAAAATTAAGCGAATTAATTTTAATTTGATTGGAATCGGTTGATCAAATCTCTGTTGAAAATCTCGGTTCATGACTAGATTGAACTTCGCGAGGGATTCAAATTGTTGTAACAATTTGATTGTATCTTCGTCATTAAAATCATTTAATGAGACCATTTGGTAGAATTGATTCAATTTAAGTTTAATTGTTTGGTAAAAAAATTTGCAACTTATCATTATTATTAATAAATCAGAAAAGTTTGGTTGTTGATTTAAGAGAATTTGAATTTCAACAAGTGAAACCTCGTTGACAATTTATAACAATCAAGAATAAACCACTTTGCTCAGTTTATTTAATGATCATCTTTACAAATCATTAAATTAATCAATTCTTACGTATTGATTAATAAATTTATGAATCATATTTAGTCAAACAAATCAATTTTTGAGCTTTGATATTCTATAAAAAAGGATAACATTTTGATTTTGGCAATTAATCAACTTGTTAACAATGAACCAATATTAAAGCTCATTGATTGTTGAGGAAAAAAACTCATCATTATTTACATTACTTTCAATCAATTGATTAAATCACTGATGTATTAGTTAATATTGGTTGATGATTTAAACGATAATCTGAAAAAAAATCAATTCCAAGTCAAACTATTGATCAATTTTAAATATCAGTTGATTGAATTACCATGAACATGATTGATTATCGTATGAACAATTGATACCCTTAATTACCTCTTATTTTGCTTAATTATGGTGAATATTTTCAAATGGTTCAATGCTCAATTGTCAGGTTACAATGAGACCCATTTATATTACATTCTTCGTTAAGGTAGTCGAAATAGCATTGTTGATTGTGATCTTTGGCGTATAGAGGATAGTGCATAGCAGATTTTTTACCACCATAATCAGCACGTCTCGAAAGATACTAGTATAAAAGCGGCCCACTCTGGTATCACCAGCGCTTCTGGTATCATGATACCAGAGTGGGCCGCTTGTTTTGCGACAATTGTCGCAAATATAAAAAATATTTCTTGATCTATCAGATAAAAATTGAGAATAAATGTACAAAAAATGACTTTTAAGTTTCAGATGAAAGAGTAAATATTTTGAAAGAAGTGTTATCAAATGACGATAGATATGAAATGAAGTATATGATGATTTTGTCAAAATATTTATAAAGATTTCTCTAAGATGATCACATGATGTGAAGGACCATTAACGTATGCTATTAGTGAGAATGAATGATCTTTCATTGCTTGATACATCACTTTTATATAAGACGAGGGAGACATTACAGACGAGTACAGAAGGTTGTACTTCATAATTAACCATCCAATAGACAATTCGCTTAATTTCGTGTGGAATTTTTTTCAATTAGCAAATATTTGTTAATGATACATCGTATGATAGCGTATGTTAATAGCTATCGATTGGTATATTGAACTCATGTTTCACTCTATTGGTTGGGAAAATATCGATGATTTGCTAATTTTCACTTCATTAGTTGTTAACTTTATCTCTTATTCACTTGTAGTTGAAAGAAAACAGCATGGTTTCCATCAAAGTTGAATCGCCTTCATCAGTGTTTCCACCACCACCTTCCCGCAACCTTCACCACCATCACCATTACCACCATTACCTGCTTTGCGTCTTATCCCACAGTGTTGTGCAGATAACGGCTGTCCAAAGTGCTGTAGTGTAGCAGCACTACAATGGTGGTCAAGACATTATGATGTCAATTTAAGTAGTTTGAACAACCATGGAAATAATCATTATGCATCACCATCTCAAGAAACATCACCACCTCAACAAACATCAACACAGCCAACATCATCTCCATCAACATCTCAAACATCGACACGACCATCAAGGATACTTCGTTTCTCAAGAAAACCGTCAAGTATAAATTTCAATCGATCAATGCCACTCATTGCAAAGGTAAAAGTGATTAAAACATTTTTGAATACAAGACCTGAGTATGTTCGACGAGAGAAGTGTGAGCAAATCATTAAAACCATCAAAGACCTTGTTGCAAACATGCAGCGTTAAATGTGAGATCACTTTTATGCAGTTTAATTACTTTGGTAAACTTCTCCGAAATCCCACCGAAAACATTCCATTTTCATTAAACTAATTGCATTCTATTTATTAAAATTATCGCGCGCGATTGAGTGTGTATATGTTTGTGTGTATGTGTTTGTGTTTTGCTTCTGGTATCATGATACCAGAAGCGCTGGTGATACCAGAGTGGGCCGCTTTTATACTACTGATACGGAACAGGAGGACTTGAACATGTGACTGAGAACCATTTTTCATCTTTCTTTCAGTATTTAACAGAAGGTTTAAGTTTGCATAAATTTTTAGGTTAAGTAGGAAACCACATAAAGTGTTTGAGGAAACACTTCATCGAATTGGTTAATTCTATTATGAGAATATGAAATCTGCTTTGTTACATTTCTGATGCTAATTTGCCTCTATAGTAAAGCTTTGTTAATGGTGAGCTGATTTCGGGCTATTTTCTCTATTTCTTTGAGCAGTTGATCTTGAACTATTGTAACGGAATTAATCAAATTTTGTTTAAGTTTCATTTCTTCTATCCTAGTACTGGAACCTATAACTACACTTAAATATAAAGTGATTATAATTGTTCTAAATGTTAATAATCCTGATATAATCGCTCTTGCGATGTCTCTCTCTCATTTTTCTTTTATAAACAAGTTCTTGACATAAATTTTTCACTGTTTGTTTGCAATCGTTTTTAAAACTTTGCTTATACCATTACATAATAGGTTTGAAGTAGATAATTGAATGAAGATGCTGATTCTTAAAACTATAGAGCTCTTTTGGTCATAATGATTTTTTTGTTCTAGAAAAGGTTTTTAGTTCCAACGTATTCAATTTCGTATATTCTTCACCTTTTCCATCGCAAGAAAATTTTCTTTCCGTAATGGTCTCTCATAATAACAAATTTGTAAGTATTTTATTAATTTATCAGAAGTCATTTTCTTCATAATATTGATTTACTTTTTCATTTTCTTTTCAGCAAACTCTTCTCAAGCATATGAAGCGAACGGCTCAGTATATTTATAACCAATCGGCAAAAATGAACAACTGGCGAACTAATTATGAGACGTTCCAGCGCACGATTACTAATGAACAATCGTTGATATTCTCAGCATTAGCCGCTCTTTACATGGAATTGTGTGGAAATGTAATGCCAATTCATGGAAGTATTCAAAATGATTGGTAAGTTATATCTATATCTAAGTAAGATCTAACAATTATTGACAAATTACTTCTTTATTTTTAGGAGCTCTCGACGATTGAATTTGATCAATAGAGAAAGGAAGGGAAAAAATGCCGTTCGTGATCCTCACGGGACTTATCAACTTTTTTTTCTGGACGCAATGGAGCCGAAAACCCAGGATGATTTCACTGAACTGTGTGCCAATAGCGTTGACCCGAATTCGGGTACTTGCACTTTGGAAAATTTTCCTTGTGGTAACACTTTCAGCCAAATGTCAAATATAAAGGACAAATATCTGATGTCGAGATACACCTCGGAGAATTTCGCAGTCATGGTGTGCAATTTGTGTAACTCAATGTATGGGACGAAAGCGTCTCTAAATGGACACTATGACCGACATTGCGGCATCATTCGCAAACGACGAGACATCGAACTGGCGAAATTGAAAGAAATCGAACCATTTGATAAGGGCAATAAAACCAGACAAACGCAACAGGAACACGCTATCACGTTAGAAAGCTTTGCCGCTCAGGTTGCAGATATTCAAAGAAGCTTTGAAAATGGTGAACCAGAAACTCCAACACCTTTTGGTGCTGTTGTACAAGGTGTTTGTGTCACGATCGCTCGTGAATTATGTGAATTCGAGACACCAAAATATTGTGATGAAATGTAAGTATAATACTTCATGATTTTTCTGTAATTCTCTTCATCGATTTAACTTTCAATTCTTTGCTTTCAGAACGAATGATGAAATGCCGATTTTTTATTTAGACGCAATTAGAGCCTTTTGTTTCTGGGATGTGGCCGGACGGAAGCCGTTACATGCGTATCTGTATCAATAATACATCCATCAAATCGAAAAAGCTGAAGATGATTACATTTGCTGTTTCACTTCCTGCATACTTTGTACCGAGAATGGCTACAGGAACCGAGCGAGTGAATATTATAAAGTACGAGCACACATAAGATCGAATTTCGCTTTGGCGTGCATCAAATGTAAACTCACTTTCAGTTCATATTCCGCTTTGAAAGAGCACTACAAACCTCCGTGCTTCAACAATCGGTTGAGACGAGAGATCTGTCGACAGAGAGAAATAACAGGCCGACAGTTTGCACCACAAGAAACAAATTAATTGATTCATTTTGATTGTTCAACTTCTTATTCACTTGATATTGTACTCCTTATCTAATTGTTCTTATTATCATTATCAAATCATTACGAATAAATATCTTGATTGCTTTAACTATTCTGTTCATGCTCTTTAATTAATTAGAAGAACCTTCAATTATCTTTGGCGATTTTTCTTTCTTTTTAAAAGGTAAGAACATCGGTTCAACATCACTTTTTATTCATAATAATAAAAAGTAATGCGATGCACTGTTACGAGAAAAGAATATATGAAAGAAGCTTACAGCCTCTATCGACTGATGCATCCTGATAAATTCATCGTCAATTGCCAATCGCATATGGAAAAGATTGATCCTTCCGAGTTCACCGTAATTGATGGATTAATGCGAAGAAATCTCGCTAATTAGGACCACCTCTCGAGCCCAATCTTCCAAATGATCCATTTATTCTTGACCCTTGGAAATGGCATGACGACCTAAAAAATGCGAAAATGCTAAAAAGGATGAATACAGATGAAGTGAAAAGAGAAAAATCGAGAAGCGTCGCAAACGAAAACGAAAACTGGCACGTGGCTAGCCTGAACCTGTGTCCGAATGAGTGGATCAAAATTTATGTACAAAAGGAGGCAATATTCAATCTTGGAAACTTTAAAGATTCATATTCGAAAAGATTTCTTGAAAAGTTCTATAGCCGGCAATCAGAAGGAAATAACTAGAAATGTTTGTTTTACTAAAATTCCTCATGCCTTAAAGACAAAATGGAGGATCATCTATTTTCTAACTTTTTTCATTTGGAATGTGCTTCTGGAGATATTTTATGTCCACAATGTCATTCATAAATTTCGAACGGAAAATATCTAAGATACAACTGACTGTTTCATGAACAGATTGATCATCGGGTGGATTTCGGAAAACGTCACTCGACTTTGGTCATAAAATTCGTGCCCATAAGTTATATCAGTCTTTAGTGAAACCATCCAACTTTTTGCCATTAGATAAAATAATATCTTTGACCACCAATTTTGCACCCTTTGATTATGATATATGTTGTCGGTATTAAAATCATA